GGCAGCTCATTTGATTAATTAATGGGTTTTACAATGGTTGCTTGGAAGTAGGTATCAGAAGAAAAAAAAAATTGAACTTCAGGTTGAGGTCTGAACTCTAGTGAGAGATACTAGAAAATACAACTCTGGATTGTTTGTGAGCGTGTGGTGAAAACCAAGCAACAATGCAGCTTTCTAATGTTGTCCAGCAGTTTAAAAATCGCCTTCAAATTCCTGTGTGCTTACATTAAGGAAAAAAGAAAAGGAAATTAGATGGTTTTGCCACTGGTAGCAAAATGCATTATACTATTGTAGTGCTGACTAGCATTTAGCTAGACTGAATGGCAGTCAGCTGTGTGTGTGCTGCTTGTAGCTCCATGGAGAGGAGAAACAGCAGCTGCCTTCATTGCCCTGCACAACACACTGACCGACTTATTTGCCCTGGTCAAAGAGGTACTTCTGCAGCAGCAGGAGGGAGCTGCATGATGATCACACTCACAGCCTTAAACTCATGCAGAAAACCTGGGTGGAGAGTAGGCAGAGCAGCCAAGAGGGTGGGTGGGGACATGCAGGAAGTAAAGGATCCCTCTGCTGTCACTTCTTCCTCCTCTCGCAGCTGGCTGGGCAGGCAGAAAGGGACGCGCTTACCTCTTGCTTGTATTGATTCTTTCTAATTAGTATTAAGAGTGACAGAAGCAGATATTGAGCTCAAATCTCTGCAGCCTCATGTACTGGACTTGGAAAATAACAAGAGATGTCAAAGAGGAAACAATGCTCCCTTCTAACCTTGATGTCTGCTTTCCTTCTGCTGTGCGTTAAGTCCACAGCCCAGTGGAGTCCCATCGGAAAATAGCACCTTGCTAACTCTGTGGTGTGTGTGGCTCTCTTTTCCTGATGGATTTCACAAAAAGAGAGATCTGTCCCATATTTGTAATTGTTAATTCCCACTGTTGCTGCTCTCACAAGGATTGTTCTAAAGAGGTAAGTAAGAATTTCAGCTCTGTCAAGTGTGTGTAGCCACAGGGAAAGTATTTTGGAGGTAATCAGAGTTCTCTACAAATCTTTTGAACTGCCTTACATTTGCATAGCTTGGTTCTTTAGCTTTTGAACTTGACTTTACTTTTTCCCCTGTAGTTTTTTAAAATGTAAATTAAAATCCTGACCATCATGGCAGGAACATTAATTGACTCTATTTTCCACCTATGGTTTTGTTCCAAATCAAAGCATTTTTAATTAAATTTAGAATGTCTGAGGGTGTGTAACACTTTATCTGCCTTCATTTTGATTTGTTGTAGAAGTTATACAGCATTGATTCTACCTTCTCTAATGAAGAAAATGATATTTTCAGTATCTCTTGCATTAGAACAAGATGTTAAACTACTGACTCAGCCATTTGGTGACCTAACTAATACAAAATATTACATATTTCTAGGCAAAAAACTGTGGAAGAGTTCTGGATAGCTTATACTTTGGGGTTTAAAAGTTTCCTGGAAATTGAGTGTTTTTAAGAACACCCAACTTGCTTTTAGTTCATCAAATAACTGTATATGTTGAATTTTCGAACATGTTTTTTTACCTGGTTAAAATCTGTTAAAATCACAAACATTATAATATGTAAGATAAGCTTAATATGAAATCTTTCTTATGCTTAACATGCAAACTGAGTTTTTAGTTTTGTATCTGTCACTGCCTACATAAGCATCCATATTTTAGAGGTATTCTCAAAATCTAAGTGTTCAGTGATTTTTATTTTAAATTGGTGCTTCTTTCAAAATAAGCAGTTCTGCCCTGACTGTCCTGTAAGCCTGAGAGCTCAAGCAGCAGCATGGGCAACTTCACCTCACTGGAAGCTGCTGCTGCCTTTTTTGGTTGGATTTGTTTCAAGTCGGATACATGCTGTGATTTGGTTCATTATGCAACTGTATTAATGTGTTTGCTGGCAAAATAAAGGAAATTACATGGATGTGGGACTGGGAAATGGAGAAAAGGACACTGTTGCTTTCAGCAGCACTGTCAGCTTGTGCAATTTTAGAGCAGTAGTTTGAGAAAATGTTGATTTTTCATGTGTGCCTGTTATACGTACCTACTCTTTTCCTTTTGCAAGGGCTCTTCTTGCTGTTTCTTTAGCAAACTTGTAAATAATGGTAGTGGGATTTAGCTGTTTAGTTCTTAATGAACTGCCCCTGGGAAACAGGACTAGTAGATTAGGATTTGAGTTGTCCTGTGGTTGTTCTAAGGATGTAGGGACCAGGAGCAGCACATGGGAATGTGACCATTTTAAGTGTCATAAAACCAGGAAAACACTGTATTTCCTCGAGTGCCTTTGGGTTCAGAAACTGCTGAAGGTATGCTTGGCTGCCCAGCTCATGCAGTCTTAAGAACACATCAAGGTTAAGTGAATTTCAGGGCCTGACCTCCCTTGGGTTTCTGTGTGATGGCAGATTAAGGTGTGTAGGCAGCTCTGGTTAGAAAAGATTTCACTGATTTATTGAGTTTTTAATCATTTATAGTACCCCTGTCTTGTTGTATAAAATAGTTTGACACTTCCATTGGTGCTTGCAGGAGGGAACAAAAGGGTTTGAAAAGCTCATGAATTTCAATATCTGGGGAGTGCTTGTCCAGAGCTGGAGAGGAGGCTTAGGCAGCCCTTCTCATGGACTGTGGAGCAAAGTGAGAAACAGGGAACTGCTTGAACACAGAATCCCGTGTTGGTTTTAGGCCCTAGTGTGATTTCTCCCAGATTATCTGAGGAGCAGTTGGAGCATGGAAGCTCTGCTAAAGGAGGCTGGCAGGATCTTCACTTTTTAACTACACTCTTGATTTGGAATTCATAAAGTGGAGTATTGTAAAATGGTCCTCATGGAAGGGTCTGAAGATTTTGGACTAGTGTTTAATTTCTTTCAGCAGTGAGAAACGTGGGGTAGCAGACTGAATTTCTCATTTAAAAATCTATCTTTAGCTTTAACTTCTCAGGCTCTGTGCAAGAGCAGAGCATGTGGTACAATAATTAACAAGAAAAATCAAATCCTGGCTTTGTTATGCTGATATTTTTCTGTACCAGTTGTCTTCCTCATGTTAGCTTTTAGTTTTCTGAGATGAGATTGTCACAGATCTGACATCATCCTTCTGCTGCCACAGTGTAAATGAATGTCGGTGCAGGCTGGTATGTCTGAGGCTTGAGCTATTTAAAAGACTTACATGTGTTAAACTTGGGCAAAGATAGGAATATATGCAATAAAGACTTGAATAATTATTGCATAGTTATATATGTTATACAGGAGAGCGTTTAATTATATATAGAAATATCTATACTCCACATAGAAACCTGAACTTCTGGGACCATTTTAAGTGTGGTCATAATGAAAAGTGGCACCTTTGACAAGTCAGCTGTATGAGCAGAGTTTTCTATTTCCATTTAGAATGGAGGGCTCTGGGTCCTGCTTAGAAGCTGGAGGTTTACATAAGGCCTGGTTAGAGTCTGAAACCTACCCATCCAAACTTGGGTCTGATGTTTCATCACCTGAGGCATTGATTTTTCTTAAGGCTTAATAGTCAGCAAAGCTTCTAAAAGTATTCAGCTAATTCATTGGCAGGCTATGTTTCAGTGCTTATTCTAGTCTGCAGTTCTGTGAATTTCAATTGCTAGAGTTTCACAAGGGCAAATTTTAGACCAAAGAAATCGATAACCTTCCTGTTATAAGAGCATACTGGTTTTTATCAAATAAATTGTTTCCAGTGTGGGGTTTTTGTGTTGGCTTTTTTTCTTTTAAGAACTCTGAGTACAGGGTCAGTAGGTGCAAAGACTGGGGTTTCGACTCAAACTTTTCTGTTTCAAGGCTTGTTTCCTTCTCACAACAGAGCAATGGGGAAGGATCATGTCTTGATGTCACCAGTATTTTGTAGGTTATTGGGAGAAGTACTTTCTGTTTAGGGCACAAATCACAGTGCTTGTAGTGCTACTTCATTTATTTCTGTACTTCAGAGATGTGGTTTTCACTTTGTGTTTAGTTGTCATTCAGCAGTGACACAGGGTCAGATGTATCAGGTGTATAATTTCAGGATTGTTTAGCTTGAAAACACCATCTCTGTTCAAACATTTGATCAGCATGTCTTCATCCTCTTTCATTCTGGTTTTAAATACAGAGTTTGAAATTAAAGGCTGAATCAAGTAAAATTGGGTGCCAGATTTTGTTGTGGACAATTGGCCACAAAATACCAGTTTTGGCTGTTATTAAGTGATGAAGCTTGGCTCTCTGCCGGAAATGTTTTTCAGAATTCCCAGATGGTCACATCTCATGGCATGTTTTACTGCTTTGGGTGGTTAATCTTATTTAGGTTTTGTTTTCCTTTCCCCCTGTAATTTAGCATATATTGGAAAAAGGGTTGCTGTGCATTGTGGAAGGGCTGTTGTACAGCCTGTGTTGTAAGCTCATTTCCCTGAACTCACAACAACAGCGATGCAGGAGGGTGGTTTGGGTACAGTGGTGCTTTGGGGGAGGGCTAAGATACTGGAAGGTTTTTGGGTTTTTTTTTTGAACATTGTACAAGTTATTTAATGTTCCAGTCAGATCATCCTGGGCTAAGGTTTTTCCTGTAAAAAAATTACTTCATATAATGGCAGGTTGGAAACATTTTGGGAAGCAACAGGGTGCTCTGAAGGCTGTTAAATTAATCCTGTGGTTTCTGGCATTAGTGGTACATAGGAACCATTTCCTTCCATTCTCAGTCTAGTCTGTGTACTTCCCTCTAACCTGCACAACTTCCATGGAAACAAAAATGTTCTCCCATCACAACTTGAGCATCCAAGTGCCGATGTAGATGGAAAATGGGAAGGGGTGTGTGTGGAACATTTGCAAAAGTCACTAGCAAACAAATGAGCAGTAGTACTGGGGTCAGACTTTGCCTTAATTTGCACTAGTTATTTAGGTCAGTTATCTGGAGAGTAAAAATAGGTGGTTTGTCAACACAATCAAAACTTAAATGGCCCTTGCAGTTTCTCAGTTGTTACTTGTGTGTTTCAGGGTGTCAAGCCAGCCAGCTTTGATAAAGTAGCAATCCCTGAAGTGAAGGAGATTATTGAGGGATGCATTCGGCAAAACAAAGGTGAAAGGTAAGTACTTGCTTTGCAGATGAAGGTACTAGCTGCTGTCTGAGGCCTTTATGTCCTTTTGGTGATAGCAAATCCAGTTAGTTTCTGGGGTCTTTGTTGTTCTGGTGAAAGTGGGAAGGCAGTACTACTTCTGCAGCTTCTGATCTTTGGTAGATTCCTATTCAGAGATTGTTTAAGAGGATTAACAGTGTCAGGAAAAGTGCAAATGCCATAGTAACCATCCATATCAGTTTATTCAGAAATTCTGTTGCTGTTATATAAACTCTGACCTAATCAGTAGAGTAGGGGAGGACAGTCCTTCTGGGTTTCCGGGTGTTTGGATTGGTTGGTGGTTCTGTAATCCTTTGGGCTTTTTTGTCCCTTTGATTCTGTTGGTATGACTGATGATTTTGGGAATTCCAAGTTTTAAATTCCAGCTGCTCATTTTTATCCATGTTTTCTGCAAGATGACTTCTACTTCAGGTGGTTAACTTACACCATTACAGGAAATCTGTAACTGTGCTGATGGCTTATTTGTGGGATTTGTTTTGTTTTCTGCATTTACATGGTGTTGCTTACTGAATGTCGATTTCAGACTCTTTCAGCTTTTGTCCTCCCTTTAGCTGCCTTCTGTTCTGTTCAAAGCTGGTTTTGTTCATGGGTGTTTATTCACCCCTTTTTATTAACTCTTGAAGTTTTACATCTGATGGTGTTGCTGTGTATTTTTAGTTTCAGTTCCTTTTCTTGTTTTTAAACAATTTAGTATTCTTTTCTCATTTGAAGTTCATTTTGTTGTTGCACATCACTTATTTTTTGCCATTTAGTTTCAGCTGTTAACTATGATTGTTAATGATGTGTTTGTAAATCTCTTTTGTACCTTCAGGACAAAGCTTCTAATTACACCCAACAGAATGCACATAAGGTGGTTCAGAACAGCATATTTAGAGAATAAATCAGGGGAGCATCTGGCAAGGTTATTCCTTAATATTTTATGAAATCCTGACAGCTGAATGTTCTTTCCCAATATCTAGATATGCTATTAAGGACCTTTTGAATCATGCTTTCTTCCAAGAAGAGACTGGAGTACGGGTAGAACTTGCAGAGGAAGATGATGGAGAAAAAATTGCCATTAAACTCTGGCTCAGAATTGAAGACATCAAAAAACTCAAGGGCAAATACAAAGATAATGAGGCAATAGAGTTTTCATTTGATTTGGAAAGAGATGTCCCAGAGGATGTGGCACAGGAAATGGTAAGTGCTGGTGGTCTGACAAAGCTCTGGAAGCAGTGCTGTTCTGTGACAGTGCAATGTGGTCTGTCAGCCTCTGCTTTTGCTGTTACTGTCTAGAAGTAAACACGTTTGCAAGTGTGTAGATGAGTAGTGCCAGAAAGAGCTTTGTTGCAGCACTGGGACAGGGGCTGTCTGTGGCAGTGTGAATTCTGTGAATGTATCCTCCTTCAGGTGGAGTCTGGCTATGTCTGCGAAGGGGATCACAAGACAATGGCGAAGGCTATCAAGGACAGGGTATCTTTGATTAAGCGCAAGCGAGAGCAGCGCCAGTCGGTGCAAGAAGAGCAGGAGAACATACTTCAGGAAGAAGGTAGTCAGAAGCAGCAGCTGGAGCAGCAGCAGCCATCAAGTACTTCCCATGCAGGGTCAAAACATCCCCAGTCTGTCACTGGTACTACTCCTGTCCCTACTGCTTCAGCGTCGGTTTCTACACAAGTGGAGCCTGAAGAGCCAGAAGCTGATCAACACCAACAGCTGCAGTTCCAGCAACCCAGTATATCTGTTCTTTGTAAGTGCCTCAGTTAGTTTCTTTAGCAACTCCTGCACTTGCACAGTTCCTCCCGTTAGTTTTATGTTTTTGGTGGGTGTAGCAGTAAATGCCCTCAGATGATGCTGTCTGCCATTGCTGCTGCTGAAGAGCACTAGGCCACTAGAAAGCACAGCAACTTAAGATGTATTCCTGTGGCTTAGCTGAGCCAAGGCTTGGCACAATTCACAGCCCAGTGTCTTAGCACAAAATGGTTTCTCTTTGTTTCAAGGCAATATACTGAATGAACTGGGGCACCTAAAGCATGAACATATGCCTTTGGTTTTGCTGCCCTCCTACAGGGACAGTGTATTCTGGCAGATCAGGCTATTAAAACCACTTATTTGAATCCTTGTTAACTTTTAAAGTGGAAATTAGATTAATCTACAAGTAGTTCAGCTCATAATTTCCTTTCTGAAAAGTCTTAATTTTCTGTTTTACATACTATACATGAAAAGATGAATGTATAATCTTATCTTTTCTTCTTTTGCCATCCCAGCATTTGACTCAGTATTTGAATTATGATGGAAGGTGTCAGTTTCTGTATTAGAATGATGAAGTTAAAAAGCAAATTACTGTCTGCTCATTAGATAACCAGGATTTTAAATTGGCTATTATGCCTAGTTCACTATTGTGCCTATATGGTGCATCTGCCAGCCAGCACAACACAAGTGTTTTAAATGTCTGTGTAAAGTTAAATAAAAATAATGATTAATAAATCTTGAAAGAGCATTCATAACAATGTGGAATTTAGGTTTCTATTGCTAGTCCAGCCTTTTGTAAGAAATACAGTTTATTCTTAAATACGTTCCCAAAGAACTCCTGAAATTAGTAATTTTTTCAGGGTTTTAGGGGAAGGCATAATGGAGGAAAAAAGGATGTTAAAATCAGCTTAAACATTACAAGACATAAAATGGTAATAAAGGTCCACAATGGCAGAAAAATCAATTTAATGTTTGATCAGTTATAGGATCTTTGAAATTTTTAATCCAGACCACAGTTCTTGAAATGCTGATTTTTATCCTAAACTTCTGCAGCTGATGGAACAGTTGACAGTGGCCAGGGGTCATCTGTGTACACTGAATCTGTGAGCAGTCAGCAGGCTGTGTCCTATGGTTCCCAGCATGACCAGTCAGTCTCAAACACTGGAGTCCAGGGATACCCAGCTTCAGTTGGCCAAGTGCAGTCCCAGCAGCATGGAGGTTATCAGCCACCTGCAGCGGTAAGCCAGACCTTACAGCACTGCAAATGCATGGAATTACTTGGTTTTGTGTGTCTGTTGAAAGGTGAGAGGAAATCTGCCAGGCCATCTTCCACCTGTGTTTTGTTTTGCATAGGATAGTGATTCTGCATGGGAGGAGTTCAGGGGCTTTTTTTTTTTTCTGCAAGATGACTGATTTAGAGGAGGAGGGGAAAGTGCAAGAGCGTCTTTGCCTTTAAAGCTTTTATTTAATCTTGGCTGCAGTTCAGCAGAATAATGGGTTAGTCATTTTTGTGAGTGGAAGTAACATCCTGAGAACAAGACTACCTCTTGAAAATAAGCATTTAATTTTGCTTGGGAAGGTGCTGTGTGTATGTGTATATGAAGTTACCAGGGGGATTAGAGTAATTGAAGCCACTGTATGAAATTGCTGTGTGTGTTCTGTGAGACTTTGATTACAGATATTGCAGGTAAGACTTTTTAACTGTTACAGAATGTTGCATGTGAGAGCTCCAGACTGAAAAGACCCCACATCCTTGTTCCTGGTTTTATTTCTAGCTTGTGTTGATTTGCTCATCGTGTGTATTCCTTTTCCCTGGAAAGTCTGCACTGGGCACAAATACTTTTCCTACTATGTTCATTTGTGTTGCCCTTTTATTTTGGTATGTTTTTTCCTTGGTATGTTTTTTAGATCTGAATAAGAGTATGCAGAAATCTATTCTAATTCTGGAGTAGAACTTCTGCTACTTGTATATTGTCTTCAGTGGTTCCCTTGTTGCTTGTTTTTTACACAAATAAAAATCCAAGATTGAGGCAGACATTATGGTATAATGTAGTAACACCATAAAGGAGATGATGTGACACTTAAGATTGAGGGTCCTCACTTCTTCTGGTACCTGTGGTTGTAGGCTTTATTACAGGGTCACTGGTGTAACTAGGATTTTGGCAAACAGACTGCTATCACCCACAATCAAGTCATCTCCATCTTTTTCAAAGACACTTAACCTGAGGTGTGTGGTACTGTTAGTCCTTGATGATGAGTTCTTAATCCCTCTAAATAAGTTGCTCTTCTGGGTAAGCCATATTTTGGTGTGTGGGCACATACTGGGCCAGAAGCCATGTCACTCTCTTGGGGTGGCTGGCTTCCAGGTTGAAAGACCAGAATCTTTTGGGAGGAGGAGGGAGAACAAGCACATGATAAAGGAATAGCTAAGCTGCATAGTTTGCTGCAAAAACATGCTCAATGCTGTGTGATGACAACAGTGCTACCAGGAGGCTGGCAGACTACAGGGACTGCTAACCCTTTGTTGGGGAGGGACTGACAGGTCGAAATTATATTGGCAACTGAAGAAATGGCCTTAAAAAGAATCACAGAATTCAATTTGATCAGGACAAGAACAAGGTTGGTGCTTAAACTGGAATAGTCAGCTATACAAGTACATAATGAGTAACCACTGGCTAGGCAGCCATTTTGCAAATTAAATTTTAAAAAAGTCAGGGATTACATTGTACCACAAGCTGGACATGGTCAAAAACATCATGCTGTCATGAACAAGGCAAACATCCCATTATATGAAATAGTAGTTCTGCTCTTGGCTATTGGTAAGTCTATCCTGGACACCTTGGTTGAGTGAACTGGAGGGTGGCTTGGGAGAAAATTCAGAGAAGAGTGTTAAAAAAAACCCAGGAGAAATACAAAAAAATGTGGTTTATGTGGGAAGACTGAAATAATTGAATCTATACAAGATAAGCTTGAGGAGAGAAAAAGCTGTGAAAGGCTGCTATGAAATAAGGAGAGGCTAATCAGATCACAACATTGTTGTTTGACAGAAAAAGGAATGATAAGCCTAAATTGCAGCATGGAATTATTGTTTGGGAAGGGGTTATTTAATACTCAGTAAAGATAGATAAGTATTGTAGTTTCTGTCAGTGCAGATGTTTCTGAACTATTCAGATAAATTAGAGTCAGGAATGATCCAAGGCAACTCCTGCCTTGGAATAGATGAAGATGTATTTAGTGAACAATTTGAGTTCTTTTCCACCTCTCTCCCAATTTTTTAAGCAATTTCACAAGATTTCTCACAACAGAAATCTTGAAAGTCTGATCTCCACTGAATATCTTGCTGTTTTCTCTCTGGAGGTCTTTATTTCATTTTATTTAGTTTAAGATATTGTGGATTACCTCCATAAGAAGCATATACTGCCTCTTTTAAAATATCCTATTTCCATTCACTTAAAAAACCCACAGCAAAACACAATACACCCCCCCCCCCCAATAACGGAAGCCCCTGATCCAAAAAATGCAAATCCCACCTCAAAACCTTATTCTCTTTCTTCTGATTTGATTGGTTTTTGACCTGTGGCCTTCTGGATCGTGGCAAAATTACAAAATCCAGATGTTTTTATTGGCTCAGCATCTGGAAGGTGCTTTTTTACAGAATTTTCCACAGATTAAACTGAGTTTTTTCCATATCTCCTGTTGTAGAAGGTGTAAGGTTTAAATTTTTATGGTGATGTTTCAGTTAATAAAGAGCCAGCTGCGTACATTTAGTTCATAATTCGGGCAGAGGGACTGCTCCAGTAGAAGAACTGGGTGACACCTGTAAACACACATTCACTCTAAAAACTAATTAATGCTTGAAAGCTCATTATTATCTAAGTTTTTGTCAGAGTACCAGGTGCTTTGAGTACACACACTGTGGGCTGTGTCTGTGGCCTGAGAGAAAACAGTCTCTGTCTGATGTGCCTTCCATGTGTTTCTCAGGAGGGTTCTAGGGAGCTTTCTACACTGCTCAGTAATCTAAGGCAAATTCAGCTCCTCAGAGGTGCACACAGCCTGTTCCCAGTGTGTCTTGGCATTCATTCAGCATTCTCATATCTTGTGGTACCACATATTAGTCAATATTGGGCCTTCCATTGTGTGTCTTCACTTCTTTTCTACCTCATTATAGTTTTTGCTGGTTTTGTTATTACTTTTTTTTTTTTTTAAGTGTTCAATTCTTAACTTTTGTTTTCCTCCTTTAGCCTCAACGTGGTCGTAGCATGTCAGTTTGTGTCCCCCACCTTCCTGCTCTTCCCTGTATGTCCTGCATCCCTCTCAGTGCTCCTTGCACCCCACCACCAGCGCTGTCTGCACCTCTTTCTCCTTTCTACCTTCGGACTGTCCCTGAAGAAACCTTTGCAGAAAAGCTTTCTAAAGCCCTGGAAAGTGTCCTGCCCATGCACTCTGCCTCTCCACGCAAGCATCGACGCTCCAGCCTGCCCTCCCTCTCTGTCAGTCCTGTATGTGTTACCATTTGCCTCCTGGCACAGTAAGATAAGTTATCATTAAATACATCCTGGCCTCTGGGCATTTTTAAAGGGAGAAATTGAAAAGTCAATTCCTTATACTTTGCTGCTGGAATGTTGATTTTGTTAATTTTATTTATTTCTATGAAGCAGTACTGGTAAACATTATCAAACAGTGGCTGACTGCTTTTATCTTGTCTTTTAGGACAGTATGAATGTAAATTACCCAGTTGTACCACAGAAGGTAAAGGGAAGACTAGTTCTTAATACCCAGAGTCAGAAGACTTTTATTTTTCAACTTCTTAGTAAACACTGAATGTTAATTAAGCCCTTCACAAAACAAAAAGCTTTTAAAGCCTGATTGCTGTGGCTGCTTATTCTTAAAGCTTTGACTAGCTGTGATAGTAATATTAGATATTTAGAGTATGAATACTTTTAGAGTATTTTTTGTGTATTCTTATCAGAAATGCCACTTCAACTTCTTAATGAGAAGTAGTTTTAATATTTCTTAGGAAGGCAGATGCAAAGATAATGTGCAATAAAGGAGGTAGATTCTTTTCCATTTTGAGCTTCAGTTTACACAAGATAAATTTTGAGAAATATTTTTTGTGTAAATGAAGTTATTGGAACCAGGTTTAGAACCTAGGAAAGGTATTTCATCTGTAGGACCTTCTCATTAGTGTTGGTCAGTAGGGAAATTTGCTGCTGCTTTTCTGGACAAAAGAGGCTGGGGAGAGAGTAAACAGTGGGGAAATAGCAACTTGAAAAACTCAAAAATGCCATTTCTCTTGAACAGTATACTTACTACTGGCTCCTGCAATTTTTTTTTCTATTAGGGAAGAGAATACATTGTCTCTGGGCATACTGCAGGCAGATGAAAAGATGCAAAATTACTAAATTGTTTGATGTTCTTACACAGCATTGTCTGTGGGCTTACTGCAGGCAGAGATGAAAAGATGCAAAATTACTAAATTGTTTGATGTTCTTACACAGAACTCTCTTTAGTGAAAAATTCCCTACAACTCTTAAATAAAATGAGCCTCCTCTGAAGTAGTACTCAGAAGGAGTGGAATTGCCTGAGGACTGTGCTATTACTAAACCTATGAATGTTTTACAGTCCAGGCAAGAGTTAAGTTTGTTTCAATGAATGCTAATTTTTTTTATGAAAAGGTATGATCATAAGTGATTAAATGATGTTTTTGTCTTAAAAATATGATATTAAATGATATTTTAAAATGATAAATTATTATTAATTCAATCAAGTTATTATTAATTTAATAAACTTTAATGATATTTTGTCTTACAAAACATTTTCTTTTAGCTTTTTGGATAGCATACAGGACACTAGTACTGTGGGTTTTGTATTGGAAAATACTAACATCTAATGTCATCTTCTGAGTGCAGATTAGAGGCTCTGCTTTGTTGCTGTTTTCAAGTTCTGAATTTCATATTCCACATATGGCAGTGACCTCAGGGGTTTGATTGGATTTCAAGCACTGATCACAGTGGATAGGCCATGACAATAACCCTCATTCCATTGTCAGGAGCAAAATTGGTTTCTTTTCGTGAACTATTGGAATTGAACTGGAAAAGCAGCTCTAACACCAGCAAATGTTCCCAATTGTAGCTATGCCTACCATGGATGTATTTAATGGATATTTACAACTCACCTAAATTTCCTAAGTACTGTATGTTTTTGACCATGAATTGAGTATAAATTCTATAAAGTTACTTCACAGAACTGCCTAGTGAACTGTGCATGTTGATGTGCTTTCACTTTTAATGTATGAATTACCTGTCTTGTTCATGTCAATACAGCCTCAGCATCCTCGTGGGGGAACACCACCGTTCCCAGATTCACAGATATTTTTCCCAACCGTTCATGAACGGCCGGTGTCTTTCTCACCACCACCTGTCTGCCCGCCGAAGGTGGCAATTGCTCAGCGGCGCAAGAGCACTTCATTTTTGGAAGCCCAAACTTGCCACTTCCAGCCATTGCTGAAGACTGGCCAGAGTTTAGTTCCACCTGGTGGTAGTCCCACCAATTGGACTCCAGAGGCATTTGTTATGCTGGGCACAGCAGCTCAGAGAGTCGCTGGAGAGCCTCTGCATGTGCAAGTTAATCCCGTGTTTGAGCAAGCTCCTGTCCACAGTGACTATAGATCTGGACCAACACCTCCAGAGGATGCTCACTACAGGATGCATCCAGAAGCTGTATATTTGGTGGGCATGCACTATCCATCACAGGTATCGGAGCAGTATGATCAAGTAGCTTATAACTCTCACGTGACTGAACAGCATTTGAAGCAGGTCTCTGAGTCAAACCATGGGCAAGGTGGTCCTCCACAAAGCTCTGTGTTCGACTTTCAATCGGGGCAAACATATCTGGCAAGACACGTTCAGAGCCTGAGGCTGGATTCTGGGATGGGTCCCCTTTCTCCATTATCCAGTGTTTCAGCTCCCCTGAGCGCAGAGCCAGCTCAGATGACGTTCCACCAGGTGTTTGTTCCGCACTCGGCCCCGGCTGTGCTCTCTCACAGCGCTGATGGCAGAGCGAGCTGTGTCTTTGAGTTCCATGTGCACACACAGAGCTCTGCTGCGGCAGAAGGGGCAGCTTTACCCCCGTGGGCCTACAGGAGTCGCCGGGGCTCTATGGAGACCAGCCATGAGGAGTGCACCCAAGGCGTAGGGTCGCACGGTCGGCTGCAGCCCGTGACAGAAGAGCAGTGTAACTATCTTGGTGCTGGGGTAGCGGGTCCCAGAGGGGGCCCTGCCAGGCGCAGCTGGCCAGAAGGAAGCCCAGAATACTCCAGTGATTCCTCACAGCTGACTTCCTCTGACGCTGGTGATTTCCAGTCTCCTCCCCCTACAGGGGGATCATCTTCTGCTTTTGGTTCAGACTTCTCATTGCCCATTGTTCAGCTGCCTCAGAAGGTGTTGCAGGAGTCGCAGCTCTTCATCTGCTTCCCCCAGGGAGCCTCAACTCAGCAGGCCTTGTCCACCTCGCTTTCATCAGGACCACCTGCATCCTATCCTCAGGTTACAGGAGCAAACCCTTCCACAATTCCACTGCTTTTTATAAGTCATACTGAGAGGGAAACCTTGCTATTAGACCTGCTCCGTGTGGTTCTAAGAATTAGCATTCATGGGGGTGTCTTTCCACCAAGTCTATACTAGGATCTCTTTAACTTAACCAGGTTGCTATGAAATAATGAGGCATTAGCAACCATCTGGTCTGTGTTCAGATTTGGGTGAAATATTAGTAGGGCTTTTGTGTTAAAGTAAAAAATGGTCAGTGTTCCTCCTGGGACTAGCTGTTCTTTTGGTGAGAGATTGCTGGAGTACCAAATTGGCTTTTAAACAGTGGTGTTAATGAAATGTATCTTCACACAGAATCAGCGGTGATAGTACAACTTGATTCTCTTGGTGCTTCTGTTGGTGCTCTTTGGCCATTTGAATGTGTTGCTTGAGGTTGAACTTTCATACAAATAATGTTTAATTAGACAACAAGGTGATTTTGGTGACTGTCCAAAATGCAAGAGCTTTTTCTAGACTTGGGGAAAGAAAGTGGGAAGAGAGGAATGGAAGGAGCTGTGTTACGTATGTGTACATGGATTTGGAAATGTATTTGTTCAAGTATTTGAAGAAGCTAAACAGGCTGAGTAGTTAATTAATGGCACAAACAACTGTTGCTAGTTGGTATTGCCACTTTATGAGCCTTATGTGGTGTCCTTTTAAATAGCAAAATTTGAGGCTTGAGGCTTAGTTTGGAGATGTGTGTTTTATCAGCATATGTGGTATCTGCATTTGCAATGGTCACTTTTCTGTACACTGTGAGGTGTGTCTCTATACATTGTGTCTGCACTCCTAGTCTGAAGTCTCATAACTTCCTGTGAAAAGAGAGGATTTGCTTTAAGTAGTCTTCTCTCTTACCTCTTTTGTCCTTGGAATTAGGGGCTTTGACATTTTAGTTACTGGGGTGTTAGCAACTTCGGGATTTGTGTGAAGCAGAATCATTTTGCTCTGTGTGTTTAGTTCAAGAACGAAGTATTTAAGGCTTTCTGTAAGGAATAATAAAGGTGTTTTAATAAAGCTGGAGCAGCTTTCATCACTAGTCTAATAGGTAGCAATTGCTGTGCTGTAGAATTTGTAGAATGAATCTCCTACTCAAGAACTTTGAAAACTTTTTTCTCCATAAACGTTTGTTAAACTCAGGAGTTAAATTCTGATGGATATAAAATACATTTAGAAAACAAAAAAAAAGAGGTCACTTCTTTTGCAGAATATAAGTTCTGGGATCTTTTACCTAATTCATTAGAAGATTAGAATTTGAAACCCAAACTGAGTCAATGTGTACACATGTTACAGCAGTGGGGTGTAGCACATGTGTAGATCCCAGCCTGAAGCTTCTAAAACAGCAAAGAAAAAAATGGTTCTCTTCATTGGTAGTCTGCTTTCCCCAAAGTTTCCATAATTAGAAAAGTATGGAATTTTAACAGACGTGTTCCTAATGAGCTTCTGCAAGCTGAATGATCACAGCTTGAAGGAATTTTCATAGATATTTCTGATATGATACATATGCACCAGATATGCTTCTTACAAAGGCAGTTTACCCAAGTGGTGCATGCTCAGGCAACTCATCTGGAGGTCTTTGTCTAGTTCTCTCCCAGGAGCTGATAAAGAAATGCAGTTGTCACCAAAACAATAATGCAGATCCTGGGATCTGATAAAAAAATTTCAGCCACAAAAATAGTAATGAAAGTCCAGTCCATTTTCCTTTGCATCTTCCACATTCATTTGTATGCCACTCATCCATTTTTTTCGTTGCTTGCTCAAAAATTCTGTCTTAGCTAGAGTGTTAACCTTCATATTCCTTCATATCCAATTCTTGGTAGCCTTTGAATGGTAGTGACTCTGGAAATTATTATTAGCCTGTGTTTTGACATGCCTCTCAAAGGAAACTCATGACCTTTGTGTATACTGGGTACTTTGTAATTGGTCTAGAATTCTGTATATCTTCTTGCTTGGATTTTTTTATGGATAGTTTTATTTCCATGTAGCCTCCTTTTATTGCCCCACCTGTCTGTGTTTGGAACACATGTAAAGGTAAAACTTAATGCATCTATTTCCAGTTACCCCATACCAAGGCATCCTGCTCTTAAAGCATCACCAGTGGAAGAAGAAGCTGGTAGGCTGATCTGTCTCATGTTGAGGGGCATGTGGGTTGCAGAGTCCTTCTGTATTAGTTATTTTGGAAGACTTAAAATGATGTTCAGAACTCCTCCAGATTGCTCTGCTTTGTTCTGGTTGTTGTAATGGAATTTGGCCAGAAGGTCTGCTTGTCCAAAAGGACAAGCTAGAAACTTATTCCAACTAGTTAATTACAGGCAGAAATAATTTTAACTGCCTGCAGCAGAAACCATGGAGTTTTTCTCAGCTGATTCTCCTTTTTTTTTCCCTCCAGACACAGGTGCAAGGCCAGCCAGCCTCAAGCAGTGCTGCAGTGCCATCCCAGCCTGCTCAACACACTCAGCAGGTAGGATCACACTTCCTAAACACAGGAGTAAAATACTCATAGTATAGAATTTTGATGACTCTTTTAAGAGCAATTGTCTACCTCTGTCACCATTTGACCCATAGTTTGGCAGCAAAGGAATCCTTTGGTTCTCACCCAGTCTAACATGCTGTGAGATACACATTGACTTTCTGAGATTTATTTTAAAAATCATGTTAATGCTTGTTTTTCCAGATTAGACTGTCTAGACAGGCAAACTTTGTTCTCATGATTTCGTCTAACTGGAAATCCGATCTGCAATATTCTCTTCTCTTAACTGCCTTGTCTTCCTTTATAGAATCTTCATTCTTGGTTTCTCAGGTGAAAGAGTTCCCTTGCAAGATTTGGTGTCAATAATAGAACTGTATTAGTAATGCTAATAAGTAATTGTTAAAGCTTTAATGACATGGCATATTCTGAAGAACTACTGATATCACTTAGGAGAGAGTAAAAAGCAGAATTTAAGTAGGATATGCTTTAAAAAAAAAACCTGTGTTGGGAGGTAATACAGCTTCTTCCTCTTTTTCCTGCTACAGAGTGCACAGCAGCCAGCCTCTTCCCAACAGCCTGGACAATACCAGCTGCAGCAGCCCTCAGTTTCTGCCAGCACCACTCCTGCACAAACTGTCTCTCAAACTCAAACTTCACAGATCATGCCAATGCCTCAGGCAGCAGCTGGGACACAGGTAAACAAAATTCTTTCTAGCAGAAGATTTTTTTTTCCTTCTTCATAGCTGGTAGATTCAATATACTGCTGCTTTCACTTTTGTCATCTTTCCTAATGGTTTCAAAACATTCATCCAAACAAGAGTATTCTTATTGTACTATAACTGTCAATTTTGTTGAAAATGTGTGGGAAACTCTTTTACACATGGTAGTCATGAGTGTTTTGAGGGAAGGAGAGCACTTCCATGCACAAAAATCTTTAAATTGTCAAAAATATCAGGAAGCATATTGATGAATGGTGTATTGTGAACGGATTTTCAGGAACTTGTCATTTCTCTGTTTCCCATCCACTGTCTATCTTCTGCACCATTACATGTCTAAAACATACTCACTTATTTAGGTAGTGAGCTATAGAACTCCTCTCTTCATTCTGTCATCTTTCTTACTCAGCTCTTCTCCTTTACTACCTGATCAAGAAGCTTCTGTTACTGAATATTGCTTCATTTTGGCTCATATCTCTGTTGAATGTGTGAGCCACAATTTTGTTTTTAAAATTATTGTTTTGTTGCTTGTTCATCTAAACTGCCTTTCCAGTTGCATTGTTTGCTGGCTTTAATTGACATATTCCCTGCCATTCTCTGAATGCTGGCACAGTGGATTTTAATTCTCCTTTGCTTTAGTCCCCATACTCAAAGCTGACAGATTTGTCGTAGGATTTGCACTTCTTCGCTGTAAGAAGGCAGGCTTGGGTCTGGGGACAGAGTTGAGGAGAATTTGATTCTGTTTATGCACAAATCAGTGCTTCAGGGTATTCAAATGTTGCTCTTTCACCCTCTGTGGGTGTCTGTTTCAAGAGCCTGTTGAGCTCTTGAAGGGAAGTGTTGCAAAGCGAGGACTGTTTGGAACTCCAGCCAGCCTCCCAGCCGCTCTGCCAACTGTGCTCCCCAGCCACTTTAACAGAGTGCTGTAACTTGAATAATGCTTTCTTTGACTAATGTGTAAAACTCTGCTTTCCGCAGCCCTGCTTAAAAAAAAAAAATCTATCTCTATTTTCTTTACCTCCCCAGCTTCCTGTTTCCCAACCAGTGTCGATCATCCAAGGCGAGCCTCAATTACCTGTTGCAGCATCTTCTCTCCCTCAGCCTTCAGTTGCCCCATCAGTCCCCATTGGCTCTCATTTTCTACCCATGGGACAGGCCTTGCCAACTTCCGTGGTTCCCCAGTTCCCAGTGTCTCAGTTGCCTGTAGCAGCTCCTCACGTGACAGTGGCTCAGCCAGGTTTCCAGTCGCTGCCCATTTCAATGGCAGCTGGCATGAATCAGCCGCTGCTCACGCTGGCCACGTCTGCCGCGGCAGCTGCTGTTCCTGTAGGACCAAGCGTTGTCCCTAGCCAGCTTCCCACACTGATGCAGCCTTTGGCTCAGCTGCCCAGCCAGGTTCTCCCGCAGCTCCTGCAGCCGCCTGTCCAGGCCGTGGGATTGCCAGTCAGCATTGGACAAGCTGCTGAAGCTTCACTTCCTGCTGGAGATGCTCTTTACCAGGTATTGTTGCAAGCCAGCAGACCTCTTCTCCACATTTTTGCCCGTTCCTCTAAGGTACCAGATCTGAGCTGTGTGCCCTGGCCAGCTCACTTCGCACATGAGAGCCATTAAGCCACTAGACTAAACTCTGTTGTGTGGTTAAAACACATTTTAAGGGGGAGAGAAGAGAAAAAGTCCTTGGACAGACATGGGTTTTGAATTTTTTATATTTGACATTGGAATTTGTCTAAAATGACAGAATCATAGTGCAGGGTTTTGTTCAACCACGGTGTGAGACAGGACAGCTACATATTCATGAGATCTGTCAGCTTGGGGAAAAAGAAAATAAGAAATTGTAACTTTAAAAACAGAGATGTGTGTTGGAAAGAAAATAAATGGCAGCATATTCAACAATGTCAGTATTTAATTCCAAGTCTGGGAAGGGGTGGGACAGGGAATTCATATAAATCAGTCAGGCAGCATGGATCTTGGATGTGACGTAAGTACCTGGTGCTGGTTGTGAACTGCTGGACTGGTGGGCACAGACTGCTTCAGCGACTTTATGTGGTCACTCACTGTAAAAGTGGCAACCTGAATAATGGTTGAAGTGTTCCTTGTTTCTGGGTCAGCTCGTTACGAGACGACAGGAAAAACACAAGAGTGTTTTTGCTATTTAATCTCAAGAATCAGCAGCAGTTGTATAACATCTGAGCTGTAGTTGTTCAGCCTGAAAATTCTTCAAGCTCATTTCTAATCTCAGGCTTTAAAATCTTAAGCTGTATAGGCAGCTGCAAGAGTTGGGACATGAGGGTTGTTTTGCCTAAGATTTGGGACTGTGAGTGGGAATTTGCTTGTTTGGGCGTGATGACTGACATGCTGGCTGCCTGAGCAGTTTGCTCTGCTTCTTTGGGAAGATTTTGGGAGTGCTTGAACAAGTACAGAAGGTTGGAACATGTCCCTGGATCTGATATTTTTTTTTATTACTGTCTTGTTTCCTAATTAGCTCTGCCATTCACTGACTTGGTTCCCTCGTTTCTGTTACAGGGCTTCCCGTCCCGGCTGACACCGCAATACCCAGGGGACTCGAGCGTCGCTCCTTCCTCGGCTGTGGCCTCTGCCAGTATTCCTTCTGCTGTGCTGTCCCCTCCCTTGCCCACAGATGCAATGGCCCAGTCAGGGTACCTTGCTCCTGTTGTGCAGCCCTATGGGGAACAGAATGTTTTAGTTTCCATGGGCAGCCTGGGAGGACAGGCTCAGGTGCCCCAGCCTCCTGTGAGTTTAGCACAACAGGCCTCATCTGCCTCCTCACAGCAGGCAGTTGTGGAGGTAAATATATGGAAAATAATGTAACAATAGATTTTGGGTGTTTGACTCCTGCAACAGTGTAACTCTGTGGGGAACTAATCCCTTCTGTGCTTGTCTTCAGTTGGAAGTTAATATTTCAAATTACCTTTTTCTTACAGCAGAATGTCATGCCAATGTGGGGACCTTGTTGCCACTGGTTGTTCTGTTGGGAAGTGAGTGTGCATCCTGCAGGCAAAAAGCAGTAAAACACTTCACTTCTTGCTAGTACTGTAGAACATTTTTGCCATATCCAAGACAAGCTGCAGTCAATAGCCTTTGAGAATCTGTCATTATGCCTATTCCCTGCAACGTGCTTCTCGCAGGGAGAATTGGAATTGTCTCTGTGTTCTGCATTGGCTTGCCTTTTGCACATTCTGTTAGTAAAACTGTGACTGCATGGCCAGCTGTAGTGACATGTGGCAGTAGAAAGGATGTGTGGCTGGTTTCCTCTCCTCACCCCTCCTCAGATGACATTTTGCTTCACTGCAGTTTGCTCTAGAGTATTTTGTAAACTAAAGCTGTCCTAGATGCCAGCTGTTTAAACTTATAAAAAGGCAGAGCTTTCAGCTTTACAACTGGTTTGGGAGGAAACACTGAAGACTACTGGGTTGCTTGAAGAGGAACTGTACTCTTTGGGGGGGGTTCTTGATTGTAGGTTTCTATCCATAGGGTACTCAGGGTGTCTCACAGACTGCTTCAGAGACACTTCCAGCAACACAGCCTGCTCAGTCTACCCCTTTGGCTTCTTCTATGGATAGGTGAGCACTGTTTATTTTCCCCAAACTGAGTTTCAATGTTATGTGTTAGATTATCTTCCATGGATAATTAGATATATTTTTTTACCAGGAGTATTTTTTTTTTCACTGGGAGTGTTCTTGAGGATGAGAGTAACTAAAGTTCCTAGAGGAAAAACAGGATCAGAAGGGTAGAGCATGCTATGTGGAGTATTTTATGGAGGGAATAAGTAAGGTTGTGTATAGTGATTAACTTTTTTATTTGTCATGTCTAATGGATCATAAGTGACAGGTTTCTTGTCATTTTGGCACTTAAACAGAATTCAAACTCCAAATAGCTTGAAAACACAAGATAGATTTGTACATCTCAGCTTTCAAGAGGTGTAGCAAAATAATTACATTTAGAATTTCTATTTAAGCAACCTGAAGTGTTGACAGGGCTTGTTCCCTCTACTTGATTAACACACATCTGCCACTTCCCAGAACAGAATACCATGTGGCTGGTTAGAGTATTGCTGCAGTTATGGAATGCATGGAAGCTAACAGGAAGTTGCCTTTTGTTTCTAGTGCACATTCTGATGTTGCTTCAGGATTGAGTGATGGCAACGAGAATGTTCCAGCTTCGAGCGGAAGGCACGAGGGGAGGACAACGAAGCGTCACATGCGGAGGTCTGTCCGCAGCCGCTCTCGCCATGAGAAGACTTCTAGGCCAAAACTGAGAATTCTAAATGTGAGTGTTTTTTATTTTAGGGACAGTTCAGTAGTAATGGTGCATTTTTAAGCCTCTACTAGCATTCCAAATGTCATCTATGAAGAGCTTTTTGGAGTGTTACATATGGTAAAACTGACTTGCTAGGCTACCAGTGGTTCCACAGACTATTCCAGAATATTTGATGTATCCTCAGACGAAAATCATGCTCTACATGACACCATTTACTAGACTGGAAAGATGGAACATGTTTGTTTTGTACCAGTACTGTTAGTTTTTCTCAGTGAACTTTAAAATCTCAGTGTTTGATTTAGATTCTTGTGCTTTTGGTTTGAAGCATTATTTTCTTTGCTTTAGGTTTCCAACAAAGGTGATCGGGTAGTGGAATGCCAGCTGGAGACACACAATCGGAAAATGGTTACTTTCAAATTTGATTTGGATGGTGATAACCCTGAGGAAATAGCTACAATTATGGTAAGATATATTTTAGAGATGGAGACTCGAGTCAGTTTTATTTTTTTGCTTATGGTTTGGAATTGGTCTCCCATGTCACATGGTGTGTGTTCACCTTATTGGTACACAACTACAGCTAGAAATTTGGCACAAGAGTGGTTTAGAGTCTGGGTATTAATTAATGTTGCATGCACAAGTCACATGAAAATTTGTGTCAGTTTTTACCTTAGAATTGAGGTTTTTATCAAGTGAAAAGACTGCTTCTGTTTTTTTGGTTGGTTGTTTTTTGGTTGTTTTTGTTTTTGTTTTTTTCAATCCGACATTTTCAAAACTGCAAGCAACCTTCTGGTAGTGCCAGGTTAAAAAAATTCTGTTTGCTGTTGTAAGAGCAGGCATTGCTACATCTTCAAGCATTTTACTGTTGTTGTCAATTAAAATGGGAAGATTTCCTTTTAAATTAAGAAAGGGGAATTGTATTTTGCTTTTTGAAAGTACTTAGTGACTTATGCTGCTCTTGATTTTTATCAAAAGAAAAAGCTTCTCCATTCAATGTATGATGGCCAGGCACATGAAATAATTATTCCTATAGAGATACATTTAAATAAAAGTATTGAGTAGCATAGAATAGAATCCCTATTTATTTTTTTTTTTTTAATTTAAACTCTTATTTTTGGTCTGGTACAGTCTAAATGAGCCTGAGATAGTTTTAGTGCTACTGAAGCTGGGATGGGGGGTGACAAAACACAGTATCTTTTGAGAGCTTCTTTGGGCACCTGTGCAGTGCTCATCTTTTGCTTAGAGAGGTGGCAGAGTCTGAATTGGTGTGTGCTGGATTTGTACTTTTCAAAAGGACACAAACCAGTGATATGGAAGGAATTCTCTACCACTAATGGCTTTCTGAGGAAGAGGAAGAAGTTGGTTCTTGCCTAAATACATGTATTAGCACAGTCAATAACGTGAGGTCGTGTGCCAGGAAATAAGGAGAGTACACAGATGTCTTTCTTCACCTTAAACCTGAAGTGATCCTATGAAGAAATAAGAGTATGTTTGATTTATGAAAACTAAACAAGCAAAACCAAAACTAAGACACAAGCAACAAAACCCACAAATATTTGAAGATGAGTAGAAGCAAAATAAGTGAACTTTGCATCCACAATGCAGTCACACAGTTAAAAGTGTGCAACCTAATTTAAACATCTGAGTCTGGAACATTGTGCTCATTGGTTCCTTGTTGAATATTGAGCAAACTTTAGATGAAAGACTTTGTTTCTTTCTAATCATGATGCTGTTAGGCACACCCCATATAGTTGCTTGTTGGTCCTAAACTGAAGGCACTGAAGATTTCTTTAACTAGTATTCTGCATTGCAGAGGCTGATACAAGCACATCATGCCTGCCTTTCCTTTTCTTGAACCAGCATCCCAGGAATTTGATGTAAAAGCAGTGTCTCAGGCTTTTCCTCTAAGGCACTTTATTTCTCTTTTCCAGCAGACACTCTGTGACTGACAGCTTTACTTCTGTTTCATGGACTGTCTCTGAGTTTTTCCATGCATAATTTCAGGAGACAGAATACTCTCACGTGTTAGACCAAATCAAGAATATAATTTGGACTTTCTAACTACCAAGTATACTTGTTTAAACCAGTTTTATTTAACATAAGCAAGATAAATTATTTTCATAAAACAGTACAATGTATTGGAACTAGGCAGGCTGAGCAACCTTTCTCTCCCTGTATTTGGAACAAAATTCATACTGGCTTTTATGTACCACAGCCAGACTTTAAATCAGTGATGTGCAACCTGCACAGAGAAGTTGTATATGGCATGGAAAGAGAGAAGCACAGAAGGCATCTTGCAATACAGAATTTTCAATTTTATTATATTATAGTTCTCTTTAAATGTCTCTTAATGCACATTGCATTCATTAGACAGGAGGAATTGCTGTAAGATAAGACTGCTAATTTTAAATTTCCCTGTGCTAAGCAAAGATTGAGGTGACAGTTGATGAAGAAGTGAGGTTGAATGTTCTCCACAGCAAAGATTAAACCAGGGCACATACTTCTGTGCTGAAGATAATTTTAGAAACAATTGTTTTTCTCTGTGGTGTCACCACTTTCATCTTGTTCAGAAGAACAGCAAAGGGAAGACAGACATCAGCACCAAGAGTAAATTGTGGTCATTCAATATATTGTTTTGAAATGGCTTGTGCAAAATGAATGTTGCTTTGTTCTTTTACAGGTGCAGAATGAGTTTATTTTAGCAACAGAGCGAGACTCATTTGTAGAACAGGTACGAGAGATTATTGAGAAAGCAGATGAAATGCTCAGTGAGGATGCAAGCGTGGAGCCAGAAGGGGATCAGGGGCTGGAGAGCATGCGGACAAAAGATGACGGCTTCTTCCCGGGGTCACAGGTATGTGAAGGACAGACTGCCTCAGCTCTTGGTATCTTCCATTTTGGGTGGTATGGTTTTGTGAGTAGAGCTAGCTAGAAATAGCAACTTCCTGTCATGAGAAATACCAAAGATCAATAATTAAAAGACAAAAAGAAAAAGCTTCATGTCAGAGTGACAGGATAAAATTAAGTTAAAAAGCTAAATAACAGACCTCTTACTTTTTGATGTGTTTGAAGACTTCCGAAGCTGCTGAATCTCCTAACACTCCACTAAACAGACAGTCTTAAATGCTGATGCTTCTTGAATTTGAGATTATTGTGAGGTAGGACAGTAAAACCCCAACCATGTGCTGTTCACTAAACACTGAGAGCCTGGTCTCAGGCCCTCCACCCAGTGAAGTACTAAGAGAGTGGATGGCTCGGTTAGGAAACACAGGTTTTGAAACTGTTTGCTGGGTGCTGAAAGTAGTGACATTGCCTGACTCTCTGCCTTAATTACACATTAGTTTGAAACATCCATTTATTTGTTGGATGTTTAAGGAAATCAGTTGGATTTCCAAAAGAATTTTCAGATCAAGTTGTTACATTGACAGTCACTAAGCTGAGTCTCTAAAAACACTGTAGCTGACATTTGTCTGGGCAGAATTCCTCTAGTTTGGTGATGGTGCTTGGGTCCCACGTACTGCTTCCCTTAAATGCCCACATTTCAGTAAGCTAGCGTTTTAAGAACTATCTTGTGGGTTTCTGTTTCAGAATAGAAGTTTAAATTTTATCTTACTTTACAGAAATTAGAGTTCAAACAGCCAGATCCTACATCTTCCATGCCACAAAGAATAGGTAAGTCTTTTGTGATTTTTTTCAACAGTTACCTTTTTCTGTTTCAGCGGATGGGTGCAGCCAAGTTTTTTATTTTGTATGATGGAGTGCACATTCCATATTGCAGGTTATGTGCTTAGTTGCAACCTTGTGTTACTAAACATCCACCTTCTTTTTGTTTAGGGGTTCCCTCTAGCTCCTTTACCCAGGTTGTTCATTCTGCTGGAAGACGGTTCATTGTCAGCCCCGTCCCCGAGAACCGATTGAAAGAACAGGGCTTTTTCACATCTGCTGTTGCTGGAGGAAACGAAACTTCAGATATGGGTGAGTTCTCCAAACTCTTACAAGCTGATGCCTAAGACCTGTTCATCAAGACTGTGAAGTTAGTTAACTGTTCCTGAAGACCTCTCAAAGTATGTGGGGAAGTAGCTGCTAAGAGGTGACCATAATTTGGGTCACACCATGCAGGATTCTTGGAGGAAAACTGCTGATGAGCTGTCTGCAAGACTCTGAAACCTTGATTCTGTATTTTAATACAAGGCTGGATTTGTGTGTTTTGTTGTTTTGGTGTGGGTTTTTTTGTTTGGTTTGTTGGGGTTTTTTTTGATGCTAAGAAGTAAATGTGGTCTTACTCTAGCCATAGACAGTAATACTGTAATGAACTTTTTCAGGTGGACTGATCATTTTCTTTTCTTCCAGTTGCAGCATCTCCTGTACATGGTCCTGGAATGAATCTCTCCCACTCAGCATCTTCACTGAGCTTGCAGCAAGCTTTCTCTGAGATGGGGCATGCTCAGATGACAGAAGGACCTAGCACAGCTCCTCCAGTGTTCAATCAAACAATGCCACCGTTTCCACCTGCGCTTTCTACCATGGCGGGCAGTGGTGCAGCTCCTGCATCTGTGGCTACTTCTTCAGTATCTGTTTCCTCCAGCACTGGTGTCTCTCTTCCAGGATCTGTTACTTTGCCTTCAGAAAATGCAGCTGTTGGGGCTGCACCAAGCACAAGTGTGCCAAGCTCTATTTCTCCACCTCCAGCCTCACAACCTGGACAGCAGTCGACCGGTGTCACTTCCAGCGTGAGCGCCCCTGCTTCTTTCTCCTTATCTGCCACGTCCCAGCCTGCTCAACCAGTGACTGCAGACATTGCTGCCAGTATCAGCACACCATCATCTTCAGCACTGCCATCTGCCCAGGTTCCTGGTGTCACTGCTCTCGGTGCTGCCGCACCAGCTGTGACATCTCAGTCTTCTCCTCAGACTGTGAGTAGTATGGCAGCAGCACAGACGTCTGTTGCCCTGTCTCTGGCTCAGAACGTGGCTTTGCAGCTTCCCCAGCTCAGCAGCAGTGGCTCTGTGTCCAGTCTGGCAGAAACAACAGTCGTAAGCGCTCCACAGTCGCTGCCTGAGAGTGGGCACACTCTGGATAAATCGCATTCCTGCAATGCAGCTGGCTTATCTCTGCCAATCTGTGCACCTTTATCATCCTCAATAGCATCAAGCATATGTGGTTCAGTCTCTCAGCCAGTGATCCATCCCTTACTTGTTCCATCGGGAATTACATCAACGCCTGTCCTACCCCAGATTTCGGGTGCAACACCCATGTTGCCCCAGGTTCCCTTACCTGGTGTCTTGCCACAGCCAGTCACTAACTTGCCTGCAGTACAGCAGACTTTGATCCACAGCCAGCCTCAACCAGCTCCGTTGCCCAACCAGCCTCATGTTCACTGTCTGGAGGCTGATGCCGATGCTCAGTCTAAAGCCCCTGGTATTGATGATATAAAGACCCTGGAAGAAAAGCTGCGATCTCTCTTCAGCGAGCACAGTAACGTGGGAACGGTGCACCCATCAGTGTCTCTGGAGACCTCTCTGGTAATGGAAACCACAGTTGTTCCTGGCATCCCAACCACTGCTGTTGCACCAAGCAAACCTCTGACATCCATTAGCACTTGTATACCTCCAAGCAGTTTGCCTCTTGGACCAACTGGCTTGCCAGTGCTGACTCCAGTTGCCACTCCTGGGCAAGTGATCACCCCGGTCAGCTACATCTCGGCCTCGAGCAGCGCGGCCACAGCAGCAGTGAAAGCAGGGACCTCTCCTTCCAAGCCCCCTCTCAGCAGGGTACCGGTAAGGAACACAGCATCAGTGTCCATGTTCAGCTCTTGCAGGAAACAGCCTTCTTGGGTTTTCCTCTTTGTAAAGAAAAATACTTATTCAGGAAGAACTTGCTTCATTTAGTGTAGTATTGAAAGGTTTATGCTCTGGTTGTTTTTATGTGTCCCAAGAGATGTTGTGTCTTGTCCCCCAGTGGGCAAAAATAAGTCCACTTCTGTTTTATGCTTCTGAGAGGTGTCTCTTATGTCACTGTTAGTTTTTCTTCTTAAACTACAAAGAGTGAAGCAGCTGTGGTTTGCTTTTTGTGTTTGGGGTTTTTTCTTGATACTGATTTTTTCAAATAGAATTTGGATGTCTTGCTTTAAATAGCTTTTTATCTTGACCACTTGAGGTACTTGGCCACTAGGCTGAGATGGTTGGTTGTATATTTCACCAAGTGGTGGATTTGAGGTAGCAGAATTTTGCTTCCTGTCATGAACCTGTTCCTTGCAGTCAAGGGTGAACCTGACTGAAAGGGTTTGGGTTTTTTTAAGTTCTCTGCTACTTATTTGATACCTGGATACTGTTTTCCTTTCAAATGTTAGATTTATGAGAGCGGGATTTTGAGAAATTTAGAAGACACCTGAAAACCAACCTTTTTTTTGGTTTTTTTTTTGTTTACTGACTCATGTTCTACAAGCAAAACACTTTTTCACGAAGAAATTACTCACTGTAATAACTTGAGAGGTGCTGTGGATGTTGTTACCTCTCACCAGCCAGATATATCAATATGTGAAATTTTCTTTTAAATGTCTGCCTGTGTGGGGACACAGCACATTTCAGTATTTTAAACTATTTTGTTAGTCCTTTCCTTAAATGGAAATGTAGCCCATAAATGGAAATAAATTCAAGAAACTTTCAGGTATTTAACAAACCAAAAACTTTAATACTTACTACTTTCTGTTTCTGTAATGTTTTTTTTGTACTCATCAACACTTTGTGTTGGTTGTCTTTAGCCAGCCTTGCTATTAACCAGTTTCAGGCCAATTCAGGCTGAGCCAATGCTCACAGCATCTCCATTCATTAGTAGTTTTGCCCATGTACTCTTTGTTGTCAAAGACAGTAGAAAATCTCTGCTGTGGAAGAGTGGGAATGTGTGCCAGAAAAGTTGATAAGGAAATCTAGACACAAAGACATCCATTAATATTTCAATGAAACTGAAAATCAGAAAAGAAATATTGGAAAAAAAAATGGGAACTGGTATTCATTCAGGAGCAGTCGGAGCAATTAGAAAATTGCTAATTGCAAACCTGTAATTACAAAGACTTGGGTTTAAATGTAATAAATATTATAGGGTTTTTGATTGTCAGTTGTAGAAATCTCACCTCCTCTCTGAAGTTTTCATTTATAAATTATTTTTACAAAGCTTAATTTTAGTTTCACTTTGTGTTGTTGCTGAGCATTAAGGAGCTTGTTGCTTTAGTCTTCTGGGGCTTGCTAGACTCTGTGTCTGTATATTTATGTTGTTTATGGCCAGACAGTTAAATGTTTCAGCTTGTCTTACAAATGCATTTAAAGTATGTTTTGCCTCTTATTTATAAACTAAACGAAGAAGTTACCATAGCTTAAAAATTCATCATGCCTCAGAACAGGTAACATCCTCACACGTGTTCCTGCTGCACAGAAAAGCTGAGCTAATGCAACTCGGCCTACTTCCTGCTGAAATGTTATTGGCAAGATAGATAATTCTGGGAGAGCAGCTTCACTGGGCAGCTACTCCTGCAATTTAAAGCATTATTTTGAGCTGTGGTGACACACTGCAGGCCAGAACAGGTTCTGGAGCAGACTGGCCTGTCCCCTGTCCTGCAGGGCTGTACAGGGGCAGGGCGCTGGCCAGCTGTAACTCACGAGGCTGTGTGTGTGCTCAGACTTCATGGGCGCTGTCAAACCTCAAGATGACAGCTGAGAATAAGAATTGCAAATTGTGTAATGGGTTGCTTAATTCCTAGAACTTCCCACTTCCCTAACAATGGAAATGACTAACTGGAATGTGCTGTCTGACCTGGTGAGGAGGCTTTGATGCCTCCTTCTAACCTTTCGGGTCTCTCTAACCTCCTCCACATAACCTGGATGACTTCCCCCTACCCAGTTGCATGGCCTAATCACCTTCTGTGGGTCATCAACACCTTTCAGGCTCAAAAAGAAGTGATGGATGAAAACATTGGTGTGAGAGCTCTACAAATCTGTTTCTCAACAAGCAGAGACATCCTCAGGCACTGACAGTTCCTGTTCTCAAGTCATGCTGCTTGGAACAATTTGCTGGAAGCACGTAGCTTGCAGTTTCTAATGGACAGTTAACATAGATCTGTTGTAAGGAGACTGAGTACATTCTTGCACCATTTTAGAAATTAAGCTTCTTGAAAGAATTATTTTAGCATTTCTTCCAGACTTGAAAATAATATCCCCAAGATACTTTGTTCTTGGATACTACAGCTTGTTTAAACTGTGAATTGTGGCTGCTCAAGGATAATCTGGATTGTAAAATAAAAACAAAGCAAACGTTCCCCAGTTTGGTTGCAAAAGTCCCTAAAGACTCTGTGTTAACTGTCCATGAAGGAATTCTCTACACAAAAAAAAGTTAAGGCTTCTGTTGTATGACATGACTGACTGTAGCTTGGTATCTGATCCTTCTGTTGTTCCATGTCTGACGGACGCGCGTTTCCTCTTCGTTATCCATAGGTGCTACCAATAGGTTCTGACCTTCCGGCTGGCACTCCATCCAGTGAGCAGCTGCCTCCTTTTCCAGGACCTTCACTAACTCAGGTGCTACACAATGTGGCAGATTTTATCTGCTTCTTTTCCCCTCAGAGAGCATGTTTCAATTAAACTCTCCGTTGCATGTTATTAATGTTCTTGGTTTTCTTTTCTTTTGACTGAGTAACCTCTTTTGTGTAAGTGTAGCAGTAGCCTGAGTGGCTTCAGCACTGGGTGTGAGTGACCTGGTCTAGTGGAAGTGCCCCTTCCAATGGCCAGGCATTGGAACTGGATGATCTTTCAAGTCCCTTCCAACAAACCATTCTGTGGTTCTGTGCAGTTTGCCCTTTGGGGTGCTGTACCCAGTGCCTAATCAGGCTTAGGGGTTTTAGTGTGTTGATCTGAACTTGAAATATTTTTTAAAAAAATATAATGCAGTGAAGTGTGTGCATAAAACTTGAACCTGTTTTCTTCTTGAAAAGAGTATAGTAGCAAAATAATATGGAAAACCATATATTGCTGTGAAATGTTTAAGAGAATGTAAAATTACCTTTGTGAATTCCTCATGAGGTTTTGGGATTTAGGCGTTTCTTGTGATGATTTTTGTTTTTTGTTTTGTTTATTTTGTAATTATTACTGCATTCTGATTTCACTAGGCTTTAAGATTTTCAAAACTTTGAACTTTGAACTCTTTACCATAAACGTGACTTGAAATTCAGCAGTGGCTTCCCCTGCTTAGCTTCTGTCCTTGTATGCCATGGTTAGCTGGGATATTTTGTGTAAATTGTGATGCCAAGCAATAGAACAAGAGACCCTGGGCAGAAACTGATGCACAGAAGTTCCACCTGAACATGAGGAAGAACTTCTTTCCTCTGCAGGTGACCAAGCCCTGGTCAGAGTGTCCAGAGAGGGTGTGGAGTCTCCTTTTTTGGAGATGGCCAGGAACCAGCTGGATGCAGTGCTGTGCCTGGGATGGCCCTGCTTGAGCAGGGAGGTGAGAGCAGGTGACCACTGTGGTCCCTTCCAGCCTGACCCAGTGTGTGGTTCTGTGTGGTTTGTACAACTAAGGCAGATGACATCTGAAATTGGAAGAAAAAGGCTTATTCATCTGAAATATTTTCTAAAAGTAGCTCGCTTTTACATCTTGATCTTAGAGCCATAGGCCATATTCCTGCCCTGTGAGTAGCAAGGAGATGGGTGTCTCCTTTCTCCAAACTGAGCAAGAAAAAACCACTTGTTTTTTTTCCCCTGATTTCAGAGGCAGAAGCTGGTTTATCTCTTTTAGTCAGTTCTTTCTGAACCATGGTTTCACTGAAGAGAAGACAACAATTTGGTGATAACTCTTACCTGCATTCTTCCCATGGCCAGCTATCAGATGGATCAGGAGACAGCTAGTTTAAAATCAGTCATATGGAATTCATAGCCCTTTTCATTGCTGGAAACTCAGTATATTAGTAGTATTTTCCCCTAAGCTCAAAAGCACTTGTAGCCACTTCTATGACTCAAGCCACTGTACCACTGCAAAAGGCTGCTTCCTGTTTGTCATGGGTATTTCTGGCAGGATTTGTAGCATGGAAGAGTCACAAATATAGGTCCCTTGCTTCTTGTCCTTTGCAAACAACTTACTGAATTTCACTTCTCATTTGAACTCAGAAGGATTGTCTGGGAATGAAACAAAATTGTAGGAGACCAACTGGATCAAATCTAATTGACTCTTAAGAGCATTTGCTGCTATCACATAATACTATCTGGAAAATTACTGGCTTGTCTTAAAGTAGACAGGCTTGCCTTCTGTGCTGCTTCTGTCACTAGCAGGTGATTACACAACTTTTCCCCTTTCCTTAGTAGCAGACTTGTAATTTGCAGGCAGAGCACACGTCATGTCAAGACCAGTTTTGAACAGTCTGTTCTATAGTCTTAAATACCTGTTCTATTTATTCTTTAATTGCTTTTTAAAGTGTGTTTAGATTAATCTCAAGTTTCATTTTTGTCCCCTTGTTCCATAAAGAAATCTTTATTTCCTGATCATCATGGTAGCCATTTGTTTAATTGAAGCAAATATCTTCTTGTGAGCATAAGTAATGAGAATTATTTAGTATTTCAGGTGACATGTCCCCTCTGTTTTACAGTGTTGGATTAAATTGCCTCACTTGTCACTAACCAGTTGGATTTCTGAATGGAGTCATACAAGTCTGCATCTTCTGCTTTTTTTTCTATTCTATAATGGAATTGATACAGGTTTTATTGTTCCTAGGGTTTTTGGTTTCATTGTGAAATCCACGTGTCAGGAAGAATGTTATCCTGGCAACCTTTTGAAAGCATCTTTATGCAATTACGTACCTCTAACTTTCAGTGGAAAGTAGTGCTTTTGTTGTCATGATCCCCACTTCAGTTTTAAAAACAGATACAGCTTCTTTTTTTGTACTTGGAGAGATATTATGTACCTCTGACTTTCAGTGTAAAGTAGTATTTTTATGTTTTCACGATCCCCACTTCAGTTTTAAAAACAGATACAGCTTCTTTTTTTGTACTTGGAGAGATTAATAATGCTAAAGTTTGGATGAAAATTTCTTCTGTAGGGTCAGAATTGCAGCTTAGTGATATCTGACAATACATTCTTCTTTTAATGTATCAATGTATCTTATGGACATGGCCCTAATTTAGTCATTTTGGGACTTTATCTTCAAGATATTTTTAGGTAAAATGTTCTTCTCTTCCTCTCCCCAGTCCAGCTGGCCAAGTTTGAAAAACATCTTGTATTCTAACTGAAACAGCTGAAATCCAAGTAATAAGCATACTTGAGAGATTCTGCCCCTTTCCATTCTTTTCAAGTCAATCCATCTATGTAGCCTCTCTGAGGGAACTTGTGGGTTGGTGTTTTTTTCTTGATTGATTGGTTTTGAGTGATATTGTTTTTTCTCTCTTTTTTTAAGTTCCAATTAATTTTCCTGTTCTGTTGTTTTTAAACAAGTATGTTGCATGAGTTACTTCCAGGTCTTGCTGTACTATACATGTTAAATCTAAATGTGTAGGAAGGAAGCTTGGTAGAAATATGGAAGCTGTACTGAGTGCTTTAAATTTTAATATTGAATATGTCTGTTTCTCAACAATGCTTTTGTTTTTCCTGAGCTGGGACATTGTTTTACTCTTTTTTTTTCTCAGTCCCAACAGCCACTGGAAGATCTGGATGCTCAGCTGAGGAGAACCCTTAGCCCAGAGACCGTCCCAGTGACATCTGCTCCTGCCTGTGTATGTTTGCAATGTTGGCAGTTTAGTAGTCTTGAAATACCTCAGTGTTTTTTCAAAGTCATTCTCTTAGGTCACTGCCTTTAATACCACTACACCAGTATTTAGACTTTTAAAAATAAAAATTCAGAGTCATCTTCCAGTTTGTGGGACTGAGTCAACCAAAATCGGGAAAGTCTGTATATTGCAATAGATTAGGTAATTTCCTGAGGCTGTTTTTTGGTATTAGTTGTTATTCCAACTTTTCTGGTGATGTCACCAAACTAGAAATGGAAGTGACTGTGGAATAAGGGGAAAGAGCACTAAAAAAGCAATATGGGATATGTCAGTCTTAATTTGGGAGGGCTGGTTCAAGTGTGGATCTGAAATTTTAAAAGCCTCTGTTAAAGAGCTTTGGATACTGAATGAAGACAGTGACTGACAATACAAGTGGTTATTTATGCATTATTTCTGCACAGGCTAAAGGGGTGATCTGCTCACAGCCTCAGGGTTAGAAGGCCTGTAAAATCTCTTGTCTTGCATTTGTCTTTTCATGTATCATACTTTGTCCCTGTTGGAAGCAAAAAAATTATGTAATATGCAGTATGCTGGATTTGTTGGCATTCAGTGAAACTAAGTATTTTAATTTATTTTGTTTTCCTCCTTGAACCTGCAGTCTGTGCCCTCAGTAGCATCAACAGTGGTTACTGGGCCGGTGTCCACAGCAACACAGTGTCTGAAGGATGGTAAGACAGTGATTACTTTGGGTGATTTCTCAGCATGGAGATAGAAATCAAAATTGAACAGAGTAACCACTTGGAAGGTTATAGCCTTTTCTACCAAGTCATGGAATGGCAGCTCCTAGAGGGCATCTTATTAGTTTTTAGTAGCCAGACTGAAATTTTCCCCATGAGGAGGGGGGAATGATAGATACTTGCATATTGTAGTGACTCATTTAGGATTTAAAGCTGTCCAAAATGCTAAATTAAGACTCAAAAAGAATCTCCATGCTGCTAAGGTACAGCATCAGGACTAGAAGGAACTGTTTTCTATCATGTGTTATGTTCCTGGCAACAACAGCAGGGCCCATTTTGTGTCATTACACTGTGTTCTACATGTAGGATACCTCTCCCTTGCCCTAAGGGTGTTTCATTTCTGTTTGAGCAGAGAAGCCAAGGTTAAACTACTAAAAATTTAAGAAAGGTAGTAAGAAACCCAGACTTGCTTCTTTCTGCTTTAGAGCAACTAAAGGTTCACTGGATGATCACCAGTTAAAGTCTGGATGATCAATGACTTTCATATCTGTATGGATTGATTGATTGGGGGGAATCCAAACACTTGCAAAATAATCAGAGATTTTCCTATCAGTATTCATCTAATTGTTTTAATTTTTAAAATCTTCTGGTTTTAATAGAAGTTGTTAATACAGTGCTGAAATTTTTTCTTGAACTGTCTAGTAAACACTATTTAACATGTGTGTGCCTCTGAAGTTGAATAGCAAACCTTCAGAAGCCAATAAAACTGTGAAGGAAAATAAATTATATACTCTCGTTTTGGGACATTGGTGAACTATAATGTAGAATTCATTAGTCTGCTAGAATTAGTTGGGTTTTGTCTTTTAAATTTAGAAGGTAAAGGTAACCAAACTGGGAAGTTGCTTAATAAACAGTGCAAGCTGTCCAATAGAACTGATTTAAAAATAGAATGTTATTTCTCAGCTTTGTAACTTTGTACTGCCAGTGCACACAGCAACAAAATTAGGAGCTGACACCTAAGAGTCCAACCTGGAGAACTTCAGATAGACTGCTTTGAGTAAATGTGGTTTATAGCATTTCTTCAACTTGCCCCTTTTTGGTGAATAGCTGTCCCTAGTGTTTGTGAAATTTAGATAGTCACTCTGGTTATTGAATCAAAATAAGCTTTTTCTTTCATAAAGCTCTATTTTTTATTATTTGTCTATTTCACCTCTCTGAAATGAGTGTCCTTTTTTTGTTGCCTAGAAGTGTAATTTTGGCAAATACACTGTGCAGGGAAGCTTTGTAGAAAAATGCTTCAACTTGACATTAATAATTAACATTTTAATATTAATATGGTGCTATGAGTTTAGAAGCCTCTTTGGAGTTAACAGATAGTTGAATTTGAAGTGCATAAAAAGAAATGGTTGGAGTTGAAATAATTTCTTTCATTGTTGTCTTAACCCCATTGTCCTTTTCCTTAGTTTTGGCAGCAGGTGATGGAGAGAGCGGAGCTGTGGCTGCTGCAGCAGGAGCCAGCGTGCTGAAGATGGGACGGTTTCAGGTACCAGCTGCTAAACTCACTTGGCTCTGGTACAGCATCTTGGGGTGGTTCCTGGTAGTGCCAGCTCAGCGTGCCATGTGCAGGACTTTGCTGTCCATGCAGAGCTTGTGATAGCAGGTCTGCAGATGCTATCTGTTTCCATTCAGGGCAGAGATGGCACAGTCTGTGCAGGTCTAGAGTTGTGAACATAGGGTTTCATCACAGTAGGCTTAGCTGTTGGCCTTGGTCCTTAATGTTGGGCTGCTCTTTCACTAACAGGGCTGGGATGTTCACTGTATTATGTCCTGTTGGTGAAGGAGCCCCATCTGAGGCTGCTGTTTCTTGGAGTTAATCCTCTAGATTACAAGAAGTGCTGCTTTGTGTGACAGTGTTTTGCCTGGAGGGAAGCAGTGGCTTGCTTTGTGGCATACCTAGGAAATGAGTTATTTTCCCCTCTCAGATGAATCTTACCATTAAGGGAAATAAAAGCATCATGTTAAGGAAAAACTAAGGAACTCTGCATGATTGTGTTTCTATTATAGGTATCGGTGGCAGTGGATGATGTGCTAAAAGAGGGTGACAAACCTGACACGAAGCCAGTGCAATTTGAAACCACCTCCACTGATTCTTCAAGCCTTTCTGGCAGTAGCCCAGAGAGCACGCTGGTAAAGCAGGCTGAGAGCCGGAAGAGCGGGGCCGTGGCTGCTGCTTCCTTGGATGTGGTGGATGGCATTCCTGAGGCAGCTCCTGGGCTGCCACTGCCGGCAGATGCTGCTCAGGCCACCAAGGTTGGGCGCTTCCAGGTGACGACGGCGACGGATCAAGTGGGACGCTTCTCCGTGTCGAAGGCTCGGGATGAGGTCAGCTGTGCTGAGAAAGAGCCAATGACTCTTCCTCTCTCTGTGGGCTTGGAACAAGTTGCTTCTTCAGCTGCAGCTCCGAAGAAAGAGTTGGAGTCGAGGCAGTCCCCACACATGAATGGTCCATCCTCTGATCCGGAGGTCGCTTTTCTCAGTGGAATGGCTAAGGATTTGGATGATGGCTCAGGGAGCCCAGACTCTGTCCAGCACCTGGGATCGAAGATCAGCCTCCCTGTTCAGAGCCTTAGCAACTCCTTCAACTCTTCCTACATGAGCAGTGACAATGAGTCGGATATTGAAGATGAAGACTTGAAGTTGGAACTCCGTCGGTTGCGGGAGAAGTAAGGCTTTTCTTTGGGTGGTTGTGTATGGAATAGATGTGACAGGATTAATATGAATTTCACCTGTACATCCCTTAGCCTTTGCTAAGTGTCAGGAGTCAATGTCAGCATTTATGTGGGAAGTAAGGTTCTTTAGTGGGAAAGCAGTATACAGTTATAACAAAAGAGGAATATACATGTTTGTTGGCCTGAATTTTCTACCCTGTAACCTTGTTGTATGTAGATTGCCAGCTGCACTGTGGATAAGACTGTAGATCTAAGAAAGGTTTGGCGTATCACTGGAGTGAGTGGGAAAAACACAGTGTTGTTTGAAAATGACACACAAGTCTCTGCATTTCTGATCTGCATTTCTGGCATTTCTAATGGCTCTTTTCCTGAAGAGACCTTGTTGGCTCAGAGAAGAATTTAGAAGTGAAGCAATGTCACCTACTAATTTATTCATATTGAAAGTTGAACTATTTTTTAAGGTAGCTGGCAGTTTTAAATCCTGTGTATGCAACTGCTCTGAAACAAATTGTAAGGCAATAACGGTGTAGAAGTTTCCAAGGCCATATGTCTGAGAAAATGAGTAATCTAGCTATTCCTGTAGCATTTGAATGCTTTTTTTGTACTTCTGTTTACTCTGGTTTTGTGATTGCAACGTTGGAAACCTAGTTTTGGAATTCTAGCCAGGGCTAGAGCACACTGGAAAATGGCAAGTGTTCTGACATGTGTGTTCAGTGGTTATTATGTAGTGGAAAAGATTTATTTACTTCTTAAATGTTTGAGAGTTTGACCAAAGAAGCAGCTCAGGCTTGACTGGAGGGGAGGAGTTGTTTGTATCTATGTGTATACCTAGAATTGTTGTAAATCCCACTGTTTTGTAACTTGTTAGGCACCTTAAAGAGATCCAGGAGCTGCAGAGCCGCCAGAAGCAGGAGATTGAGTCACTCTATGTGAAACTTGGAAAGGCTCCACCTGCAGTAATTATTCCCCCAGCTGCACCCCTTTCAGGAAGGAGGAGAAGACCTACGAAAGGAAAAGGCAGCAAGTCCAGTCGTAGCAGCTCCCAGGGACACAAAAGCCCTCAGCTATCAGGTGAGGCTTCCTTCAATATTGTTAGCAGATAAAATAGACCAAGTACCACCTCTCATTCTTAGAGCTGTGTCTCTCTTTGTTTTCTTTTGAGGAGTGTGTGTGTGTGTGTACCAGTTCCCCCTGAATTTCTTTTATCATTTTTGACATTACTTTTGCTGTTTGGTAGTCTTGCTTGGGACTTTTTCAGTCCACTGAAAAGTCCTGTGACATTGTTCTGTAAGAGCAGTTTTAAAGTTGTGGTTTGTTTTTTTAGATATTAGTCATTGGGCTCTGACTGGGAAGAAAAGTGTAAATTTACAGTATGGAAGAAAAGTTTGTTTTTTAAAGATAATCTGTGCTTGTTCCCTCCTGAAACTGATTTTGCAGAATGGGTCTGGTCTCTTTAGTCATTTGCAGAGATTTTTTTTCTCCTTAATTTAGTACCACTTAAGCATAATATTACTGGTGTCCTTACACTGCAGAAACCCACAGTTGATGGATATTAAAATAGTGGGTTTTTTTCATGGAATTGAAGATTTGTTGTACTTACAGGTTGAGAATCAGTTTCAATTGTCAAGGCTTCCTTTCTTACTAAGACCATTTTCCTGATAGACAGAACTCAGGAACTATCTTTTTACTGATTGAGTTCTGTTTACTGATTGAGTGATGTAGGTGACAGATACTTTCTGGGTAACTGGAGATTCTCCAATCCTGTAGCAGGAGCAAACAGTATTGGAGGGCCAGCAGTGCCAGCAGAAATATTTGATACTACTTCTTGTGTATTGACTTTGATAATTCCATGTCATGCTGAGATTTCTGTATCCACTCACCCTGGCTGCTCATTTCTGTACTGCTGTGTGATAGAGGAGCTCAGTGAGCACATAAACCACCACAGAGTTGTCTTAAAACTGAGGAATTTTTCTGGTCTTATTGCATTCTCAGAAACTGGAGTAGTTCTCTCCCCCTGCCTCTCCTTCTCTTGCCTGGATTGTCATGCTTGATCAGGCTCAAAAATGTACGCAAACCAAAATTTTTACCTTCCTTTTTTCCTCTAGGCAACCTGTCAGCTCAAAGTGCACCATCAGTCTTGCCCCCTCAGCAGACCCTTCATCCTCCTGGCAGTGTGCCAGAGACTGGGCAGAACCATTTGTTACAGCCCCTCAAACCTTCACCTTCCAGTGAGAATCTCTACTCTGCCTTCACCAGTGATGGTGCCCTGTCGGTACCGAGCCTTTCGGCGCCAGGCCAAGGTAAGACTCCAAATGCAATTAGTGGAATTAGCAGTGGAAATGAAGGGTTGGCTTCGTGACACTTGATTTTTAATACCTGGTGTAAAGTAGCTCTGGGGTCCCCAGGTTGTGCATGGAGGCTGATAAGGATGTTGTTTGCAGCTGGGTTTGTAGTTTCTCCCTCAGGGAGGTGTGAGGTGGTTGAAGGTCTGAAGCCCCAAGGACAACACAAGAGAGTGCAGTGGGGTGGTGACAGCCAAGTTCTGCTGACCTGGGAAAGGTGTTGGCTCAGAGGGAAAGAGCAGTGAGACTGGAGGGTTGGAAATAACACCAAGGAAGGGGCAGAACAGGTTTGATATTAAGATAACTGAAATGGTTGGGAGTTTCCAAAGACTTGGAGTCAGTCCTTTTAGACTTCCTAGCTGGTTTGGCTGTTTCTGTCAATGGAGTTTTTAACAGTAAAAGGTAAAAAAAGGCTCATGTTCTTTAATTGTGAATTATCCTGGAAGGAAGAGTCAGTGTAGGAGGATGAAATGGTGGGAGTAGCAAATTGGTCATGTACTCAGGTTTCTCAAGTAGTGGGTAGCTTGTTATTAGTATGTTATCAAATAAATTCTCAGGCACAGCTCTGATTTATTCAGTAAGGAGGGCTTTTTTTGCTTGTTGTTAGGGGATGATACCTTTACTTATCTGAACTGAGCTGTTGTAGGCTTTTTTTCCCTTTGCACATCTTTTTGAAAGTCAGTTCTAATGTGTGTTTTTGCTGAAACTGAAGAAGTGCATACAGAAAATGGAAACGGACTTTAAGGAAGAATTTTCTATAGAGCTTTTTTAGGAACTGTTTCAGGCATTTTGGAGCTTCTTGAATCATCTCCCTGCATCCAGAGTTGTGCAGTACCATTTAAAAATCGGGTACTTTTGTCAGGATTTGGCTTTCCTATAGATTGCAACTTTATAGTTGGGTTATGTCCTGGAGAGTGGCAGTGGCCTCATGTCTGGAGGTGCTGGAGGGAGTCTCTTCACTCCGTATATTGTCTCTGTACTCCTTGGTCCACACTTTGAGACTTATTCTTGTGTGTTGTGATTGCATTTCATCCTTCCAACTTCAAGTTGCTAACATCTTGTAGTGGTGTTCTGTCTCCTCTCCTCTTTCTCTGTTCTCCCTGTTCTTGTTTTCTCACAGGCTGTGCGAAGTTTAACTGTGCATCTGAGAGAGTGACCTTCAAGCCTGGTGGCAGGAGGACCCGATTTCTGAGTACGCCCTGCTTGGCTCTTTGTGTGTAACACCTTTACTCCTTCCTTGTCTGTTTTTTGTTTTGTCTTTTTTGGTTTTTGTTTCTGCTGCTTGGATCTGTTTCATGCAGCCCATCCTCATCTATCACCTTGTATTCCCTCCCGTCCCATGGCTCAGCTGCTCTTAGCACACCTTTGGAAGTTTGGGTTCTCGTGTTAGGTGTCCTCTGCTGTTAAACTCACTGTGACAAGCACTCATTTTCTCTAAACCTTGAAAGGAAACGTTCAGGACAGAGCAGTGAAATGACACAAACTGGGGAGACTTAGCAAGGACCCTTGGTAATTTTGCTTCAGCATATGTTAGATGACATGAGACTTGCAGGGGGGTAATCTTTCTAGTACAAGAGTGAGGAAAATTTTTTTTCCAGGTTATCCCTTAGCTGGACACTTCAGTAGTGGTGGGGGGAGTGTTGCCCTCCCTGGCAGTGTGCTTGCAGCACAAGTTGGATGTGTGTCCCCACGCTCTCAGCACCAAAGCTGGTGACAGTGCAGAGCTTTGATGCCACCTGTAGGCAGCCTGTAGTGACGACTTGTGTTCATTAACAGATGGCTAGCTAAAGATCCAAGTGTTAAAGGGGTTTAAAATAATTAGAGAATAATTCCAGGCTAACTCAAAAGAACCTTACCTACTAATGGGCTCAGGTTTAGAAGTTTTTCCTGTGAATTGGAGATACATTAAATGTAAAACAATTAGCAGTAAAGGTGGGTAAACAGACATTTCCAGACGTCCTGTCAGCCCTCACAAGCTAGCTTGCAGCTCTTTTCAGAATCCTCTCATTTGTACTTACATTAGGCCAGACTTACAAGAGAGCCTCAAACTTCTGATGTGGCTGAAATAACAATATGCTTGAGCCAAGGCTGCTGGTGTGATGCTTTTTATTGGGAGTGCTGCAACATCTCCTATGCTGCTTCTGCAGGCTGGACCCTTCAAATGTGTGACATTTGTTTCCTACCCCCTGGAATGACTCGATGTGAGGAAGTTTGGAGGGCTGTCAGGAGCCCTGCTGTCGCTGCACTGCATGGCAGTACCACACATCTGCATCATCTGTCTTGCTGTGCTTGGCAGGGCTCAGCTGAGCCAGGGCTGTGTGCAGGAGCTGGGCCTGGCCTTCTGCAGAGACAGCTGCAATGCAACCAGCCCCATCCTCTGGGAAAGGAAGGGAGGGAAACGTCTTCCTGGCTGTTCAGTTGTGCACTAACTCTAACCCACTTCACTGGGTTTGGGATCTGAGCACTAAAATTATTTAATTTTTCAAATTTAGTAGCTTTAAGTGTTTTTGCTCTGTATATTAATGTGCAGATGTGCACTGACATCTGCACTATCCAGATTTAATGTTCCTTTCTTGGAAGAAGTTAAATTCATATCAAAGCTAACTTAAAATTGTTAGTCTGGCCTGTTCTTTTTTTGGTGGAAGGGAATATGAAGAACAGCCAGTCTGTTTCTAGAATTGACATTGAAATGAATATATGAGAGTATAATTTACTTCCAAGGCCTAGGCTTGCTGTAAATTGGCCATCATCTGGCTATCATCTCCTTTGGCATTGTATCTCTTGCTTCTGGGACTGATGCTAAGGGAAACAGATTGCTTTTGAAAAGAGTGTTGTAGCTGTCCTGTAAAAGCAGGTAGTGCTTGGCATGGCTCAGCTTGGCCTGGCACCTGGCTTGCTGCAGGCTGCTTGCTTCCTGGAGCCTGGTCCTTGAAGTGCTGCTGCAGACTGCTGTGGAGAGTGACAGCTGGAGAAGATACTGGGTTGGAATCAGTGGTGTTGAGGAAACAGTGCAGTGACTGATGCTTTCAACTGTGCAGCTGGAGAAACAGAGTGGTACAGCTTGGCAGGGAATGTCTGAACTGTTTTCACACATCTGAGAAAAGAGGGTGACAAACTAAAAGCACCTGACCTATCAAATAAATCTGTTGCTGGTTGAAATTTGATAGTTGTAAAATGCTTCCTACGTCCTGGCAAAAATGGAAGATGTACTTGCTTTTCCTTCTGTGATAACAGCCACAGTTGTGACTGTTTGATAGCAGTTGTGACCTCATTGTCTCCTGACATTCTTCACAATGGTTTGGGAATTATGAAGAATAAATGTAGGAGGCTGGGCCTCTTCTCCTTGTGATTAAACTGTCAGACGAGTCTTTGAGTTTGTCTAGAATGTCCCATTAGTGACTGTTAAAGCCCTGCTGTGCTGTGTCCTCTGTTTCTCACCAAGCTTTTTGTAATGTTTCCTGATACTAAACATTTCTCACTGTTTCTCTTATCTTTAACAAATTACTCTCTCTTTGTGCTTCAGGGAAGATGGTGAAAAAAGTCTGTCCTTGCAACCAGCTCTGTAGTAATTATCTTATTTCTGTTATCTCCAATTCCTGATTGTAAATCTATTCATCAGCTTTTCCTGGTCACTGAAGCCTTATGTCCCTGACTCTGTCTCCAGCACAGCATCTGTCTGTCTGTGTTATGCCCTCTAATGTGTGCTCTGTCCATAGATATTGGTCAGCCTGGTGCTGCTCTAGCAGCCAGGTGGAGGCAGGCAGAACCTCCCCCTCCCTGTGCAGCTCTGCTCTCGCTGATGAGAGCAACATCAGGGGCAGTTGCTCATTGTAACCTGCTGGAGCTGTACTCAGAGCAGCTGCTTGGTTTGGGATTTGATGGGGTTTATCACCTCAGTGATGGATCCAATTGCAGACACTCCTCCAACGTTTTAAAAGCCTAAGAGTAAGCCATCAGAGATCTCCAGTGTGTCTCCCTAAGCCAGAGATGTTCAGAAAAGCCTGTGTGTGCACATGTCATTTAAGACTCTGCTTTTAGAGATCTCCAGAGATCTCCAGTGTGTCTCCCAAAGCCAGAGATGTTCAGAAAAGCCTGTGTGTGCACATGTCATTTAAGACTCTTTTAAAGGTGTCATTTGGCTGTGGTTTATGGGGGAAAAAAAATCCAAGAGCAGAATTAAGGCATTATAGGTAGTGGGCTGGAGAGAGAGAGCCTGTTTCACTTCAGATCCCTCATGTCAGAGCAGAACTGGGGATGGCTGCTGTGACCAAGCAGGAATGTGGGGGTTGTTTCCATGAATGCCACAAGTTGAAGCACTTGCTTTTCAGCCTGTTTTGGATGGCAGTTTCTGCAGGCAGTGAGTGTGTCAGAGCTCAAATGTAAAATTCCTGAGAAGTCAGTTTTAAATGGACCTTAGGTGAGGGCTCAGCTCTGATGCTGTAGGCCAGTATGTCTGTGACCTGAAATGGGAGCTCTCTGACAAAGCCACTTCGGGAGACAAAGCTCTGACAGCCTTTGTCACCTTGAACCAATCTAATTCTTTGCAAAACTCTTAAACTCCCTTAAGGGATCTTTCATCTCTTCAGCTGAATGTTCTATAGTATCTGCCTTGATTAACTCTTCCCCTTCCATAACCTGAGGAGGCTCTCTGTGTAAGTGCAGGATCCAGAGTACTTGGTGATTAAAGTGGAAATGTGAAATAGCACAAGTGGATGCTGGCCATCCTGAAGAGGATGAGAGCAAGTGTGTCAATTCCTGCATGAACCTCATGGTGGAATGTGATTATTACTGGTTTTGGCAGTGTTCCCCCTCCCCCAAGTAACTCTCCCTTGCTTTTGCCTCATTTGTACTTAACTTTACTTTTCTCATCATTTCTCTTATTCAACGATTGTACCCAGAGCCCTTCCCACACGATGCATGCTTCAGGTTCTTGTTATCCCACAGCAGACTTTCCTTGCACCACCCAGTGTGTCCCTGCTGCTCTCCATCAGTGCTGCAGCCTCACTCCCTGCTCAGGGAACCTTTTTCTCCCCTTGCCGTGTGTTCTCGCATGTCTGCCCCCACTAACCCAGCCCGGGAGCCACTTCCATGCTTGAGCTGGAACTGGTGGGATCAATCTGTGTCCTTCCCTCCTCAGCACTACTAGAGGCAGTAACACTTTATTTGTCCTGCATAGTAAGTATGTCACCTTCCTAATCCACTCCTCAGTATGAAACATTCCTGCAGGGCTTTGGAACCAGTTCTTTCTTTGATACAGTGGTGGCAAGGAATGTGGCTGATGGCCAGGGAAAGTGGGACAGATGAAGGAACTGCCAGGCAAGAGACAGGGATTCTGTCATTTGGCCTTTGCAAGAGAGATGTGATGTTCATTGCTGGCATTTCTGTGATCCACCTCTAACTAAATGGCTTCCCTTCAGAAATGCCTGCCATAAACTCCAGTTTTCCTGGATTTCCCAGGTGCAGTCTCCTGAGGGAGCAAGTAGAAATATTTGAGGAACTTCAGGAATAGCTGAGGATGAGTGTTTGCAAGGAGTGCTGTCTTTAGCCCTGCTGATGCTGGTTTTGTTGTTGGGTCTGCTCTAGTGGTTAACTGGCACTTCCACAGCTGTAAATGAGGATACTTTGCAGTACTGCTGGAAATTTAGGATCCTAGGTAATGCAGGACTTCTTTGCTTTGTGTTGTGAGGTCTGCCTTTGGAAAACCTAGATTGGAGTGCAGTTGCTTGTTTATAAATATGAGTGGCATAGGAAGGCTATCCAAAACAAAGCTTCTAGGCTGATTTCCCCAGCACAGGATAATGTTCAGCAGAACTGAAACCTGGCATTTATGTGAAGGGGTTTGTGTTCTTGCAGTGAAAAGAGAGACCTGTCAGCTTGTCTGAGGAATACCCTCACTTCTGCCTTCTTTAAGCTGTATTAGTTGTTTGTATCTCAAAGGCTTATTCTTCTGACTTAGGAAGTCTGAACATAATGGCAAAAAAATGCTTTTAGAGGCAAAAAGCAAAATTTAATGCAGTGCAGACCTTCCCTGCAGATCCTGGCCGTTTGTTGGATGAAGACAGTCCCATTTGGTTATCCTCAAGAACATAAGTATGGCAGCTGTGGGAAACAACAGTTGCTGTTTCTGGCTGGGGCCTTTTTTTCTTTTCTTTTTTTTTTTTTTTTTTTTTTTTTTTTTTTTTCTTTTGGTAAACTGGGTGAATTTTTCTCTTCATTTCACAAAGTGGAGATAATTTGCTACAGAGCAGCTGGCAATGCTGATTTTACTGCTCCTTGTTCAGCATCCAGCATTGTCCTCCAAGATGGAATTGACCTGTGCCAGCGGTGGTTGCTGCTGATTAAAAGGTGTAGGATGAGAGAGCGACGTGCCTGTGCTGTCACTCAGTGCTGAAATTAATGTCCTTTTCCTTCTACAAAGACCTGTAGGCTGCTACCACTCCCCTCTTAGGATGACCACTTGCAGCACTTCTTGCAAAGTAAACCTATCTGTGAAACACTCTGAATCTGAGAAAATGCCTGTAGGAGTCCTCGCAGTTCCCACTTCAGTGTGTCCTGGAATTGAAACTCAGAATTAATTTGCATGGCATTTTAACTCTTGGTGTGCCATTACCACAGTTAGTGAATGCACTGGAGGCAGGTCAGCTGTGAGCCAGGCTGTGATGGCCGTGTTTGTGTTTGTAGGGACCAGCAGCACCAACACAGTGGGGGCTGCAGTGAACAGCCAGGCTCCCCAGAGCCAGCCCACGGCCATCGCCTCGAGCCGCAAGGGCACCTTCACAGACGACCTGCACAAGCTGGTGGATAACTGGGCTCGGGACGCCATGAACCTGTCTGGCAAGAAAGTTGGCAAAGGGCACAGCAACTACGAGGTGAGGTGTGACCCGTGAGGGGGTGTGGTGAGAAGCTGGGTGTCCTTCTGTCTCCCTGGGGTTTCAAACATAGCCAGAGCACAGCTGGGGCAGCAGCTCTAGAGCACTGCTGGCTGGCTTTTCACGTGGAGGGTGTGCTGCCTGCTCTGGAAGGGAAGGGGAAAGAAAACTCAAGGGGAGGGTCATGGCCTGGCCCTGTAAATACCCACTGGGAGCGGATTGTAGGCCAAGGGGTGGACTGGTGGTTTTTAAGTCACACAGTTAAAGTTCTCTTGGTTGTTGGATTACTTTTCAGGGCCCTGGAATGGCAAGAAAATTCTCGGCACCAGGTCAGCTCTGTATCTCTATGACATCTTCCCTGGGTGCTACACCCATCCCTGCAGCATCAGCTACCTCTTTAGGTCCCTTCAGCAAGGCCATGTGCCCCCCGCAGCAGTACGGTTACCCAGCAGCGTCCTTCCCCCCGCCCTGGAGCGGGGCAGGGGGGCCGGCACCGCCACAGCTCGGCCAGTTCCAGCCCGTGGGGGCCACCTCTTTGCAAAGCTTCAACATCAGCAATTTGCAAAAGTCTGTCAGCAACCCTCCAGGCTCCAACCTGCGGACCACTTAGCCGTGCCCAGAGACCCTGCTGGCTACACCTCGGGACAGGACACGGGGAGGGAGATGGGGCCCTGTATCACTACTAGTGCTGCAATGAACTGGTAGCTTGCCAGACTGGGAATGAATTTCTCTTTTGCGACCGTTGCTGTCAACTCTCTGTAGCGGGAGTTTCCCCACACACTTGGAAGGGGGAGGAGGATGATCAGCATCCTTGTGATGGGACAGTGCTTTTCACCGAGGGGGGCTGCTCTCGTGTGGAACGAGAGCTGTGAGCAGAAGCCAGGGGGGTCAGTTCATACAGTCTTGCTGTTAAATATTTCTGGTTGGAGGCTGAATCCACACGTGTGGAGGTGGGAGAGCTGAACCCTAGCATGAGGCTTTAGCATGCTTCTCGCCTCTTCCTGAAGAACCAAGATCCAGAAAAAGCTGTCCAAATTCCCCTCCTCTCCCTCTCCCCAGTCAATAGCATCTGGCTCGGAAATGATGGGGCACACGAATGGACTTGTGGTGCAGCCCGTGCTTGATAGGTCATTACTGCTTTAAGTAAGATATTAACAGCTTTGACTGCAGCATTAGAGCAATTTAAATTGTTAAAAAAATTTTTTAAAGTTCCCTGCGGACATGTACTTACCATCAGTTTTGATGTGGAAACACTGTGATTATATAAATGTTGTTGGACAACAGTAGTTTAAAAATGAGTGGAATATAGAGGGTTAAAAAAGTTAAAAAGAAAAAACGGGAAAAAAAGCTAGCTATATCCTTATACTTATTGGAGACACTTTAACTTTTTCCTTTGTATTTTCATTGTATTAGATAAATAAATGTGAATGTAAAATTGTATAAATTAATGTACTTGAATACTTGTCTGTTCTCCCAGTATGCTTGCTGGATATTTTAGTGCCTTGGACTTCTCTTGCTTCTGCAGTTTAGCGTCGTCTTCCCAGCAGAGCCCAGGCGGGCAGAGGGCAGTGGAGGCAGGATGTTGTGCCCAGCGCCCGGGACGTTGGAGCAGGAGCGCGGAAGGGAGGTCACCGAGGCTGCGGGGCGGGAAAACCGATCCAGGCGGGCAGAGCTGAAGGTGTGGGGTGACAGGGGCCAGGTGGGCTGGGACGGAGGGATGCGGGTGAAGCTACAACGAGACTTAACCAGTATTGGCTCTGGAGGCAGGAGGGCTGGGTCAGAAACGGAGAGAGGATGGGGAGAACGCGTGTCTTTGGGAAAGGCCCAACTTAAGGTGCAGTTTGACTCCAGCTGTGAAGTGGTAAAGATGTTTGGTCAGGATGTGACTTGAGGGAGAGGTGCCATTGCTCGTTGGCTTGGGCTTGTCTGCTGGGATTGCTTTTCTTACCTTTTTTTTGGTAAAATTCATTTAAGCCAGGAACAGACTGTCCTGGTGCAACGTCCATTGCCGGCAATGGATGTACTTGAAGCAGCCGGCATCAAGAAGTTTCCTCTGTCTTACTTGGAGGATTTACCATTTTGTTCACTCTTAACAAATTTCAAGCTGGTACCAGGACTGTCACTGTCTGTCACTTGTCACCTCTTAGTACCTGTACTGTGTCTTCTGCTTTGGTCATTCTCCCTTTTTCTGTTTAAGAAATACTGGTTTCCTTTTCAAAGTCAAAATAATACCAGCCAGTATTTATGTAGTGCTGCAAGAAGCTGTGATGGATGAGGGTGTAGCTTGGGAGGAGGCCATGGGTGTCCTGGAGGCTGGTGCATCACAGGGCTGTTATTTGTCCATGTTTGTTTTAATCTCCGAGCGCTGTTCCCTGCTGCTCCTCAGTAGGGAGTTTTTGTGTCTGCAGGTGTTCTCATGCTTTCGTTTTCACAAAGAAACGCGCGAGATGCGTTCCTTGCTGTGCCTGGCTCAGTTCTGGCAGGGCGGGCGCAGGCTGCGGAGGAGCACAGAGCTGCTGTGGCACAGGGCAGGCTCCAGGGGAGCAGGAGAGCAGCGGGCCCGGGGCTGGGGCCAGGTGGGAACCTCTGGAAGGATGGATGCAGGGGGGAGGCTCTTGAGCACGCCCAGGGAAACAGGACCAGGACAGAGCTGAGGCAGTAGTGAGACAAGGGCAATACCCGTGGCAGAGGAACTGGTCAGCTGGATGCAGCACATGGTTGTTTAAATTTGATCTGATGAGTTTGAGGTCGTTTTTTCACTTAATGTTATGCAAGAACTGGTTTTATTTACCATTGATTTTTTTTTTTCTCCCTCCCTCTCCTCCTGTGGATGAATAACTGAAGTCTAGAGGAATAAACTAATGCTACTGAACTGTTAAATTATTTTGTTTAATATTACACTTTGAGTATCTTTTTCCACATAAAATCTGTTTCTGAATTACAAGCGTTTTCTTTACATTATTTAACAATGTACACTGTAAAAAAAATAAAAATAAAAAAAATAAAATTAATTGAAACTTTGGGCTTCCCTGGCCGTAGTTAGTTGTGTTTTGCACTGAACCCTTCTCATATGACTGTGCCCCGTGCTGCAGTTTGTTACCTTTGTAGAGTATTGAATTAAGCCATTCAAATAAACCAAACCTGCTTTGGTTGAGCTGTGGGTTTTCTTGTGGAACATCAGGTTCCAGCCCCTCTGTCCTGGTCCTGCAGTGATGGAACTGTTACCCAATTTACCAGTTTGTCACAGGAAATACAAGAAACCCAATTTAATGAGAACTTCAACTGCTCGAAAGGAGGGACCAGTCACAGGCCTTTGGCCTTTAACAGGATACTCCAAAACAAGGCACTGCAAAGATCCTGAATGGATCTTGAGGAGGGGAGTGGCCTGAGGGAGGAGAATGGATCAGCTGTCCCTGCTTCTGTGGCTGAGGCTCACCAGGTTGCCAAATGCCACAGCTGTGGCCGACACTTGGTGGCTGTCCCCGTGGGAGCAGAGGGTGAGGGAGGGCGTGTCAGGGGCGGGTGCTGTGCTTGCTTTTGGCACTGAGGGATGGGCGGCGTGTCCTAGGGCCCTTCCCGACCCTTCTGTGCTGCCCCCCTGCCTGCTCCTCGGGGCTGGACGTGAGCAGGGATGGGCTCCCATCCTGCAGGGCTGGGACAAGGGACTCCTTAGTAACAGGAATTCAGTCCTCAGATTGGAACTGTAACAGCCAAGAGTAGAACACAGCCTCCTTCTCAACTGCAGATTTACAGCATGGGACACGACACTCACTTTTAAAATTTCAAACGTTTATTAAACCTTAACAAAAATACAGCAAAGGACTGAATGAAGAAAAATTACAGCACCGGGAGTCTCAGTAACCAGCGGCCACGCAAAATGGCTGCTCTGCCTTTTATACCCTTAGCCCATCCCAAGGTTTGTCAGCCAGCTCCTTCTCTGCCGTCCATGGGTGGAGATCACTCTCTTCCATCTCGATTGGAGGTCAGCTGTTGTCATGTTGTGCCTCCTGGTAATAATCTTACCCTCCCCAAATGCCCCCACTACCGAGGCTGTTACAAGGGGGTGAGGAAAGGGGTCTATGGGAGGACATATTACAATAATATCACTTTACACTATAATGTGATGGTCAGCTCTCACAATTAAGAGATGGATATTATGTGTATGTTAAGATGTAAGGGGCACTTGGGGAGGGTAAGATTATTACCAGGAGGCACAACATGACAACAGCTGACCTCCAATCGAGATGGAAGAGAGTGATCTCCACCCATGGACGGCAGAGGAGCTGACAAAACCTTGGGATGGGCTAAGGGTATAAAAGGCAGAGCAGCCATTTTGCAGGAGAGCACGTGGCTGCTGGTCACTGAGACTCCCTGCATTGTAATTTTTCCTTATTCAGTCCTTTGTTGTATTTTTGTTGAGTTTCAATAAATCTTTGAAATTTTAAAAGCGAGCGTCATTTCTCCCAAGAAGAAATTTGGTATTTCTAAACACTAATTGCTGCTGCATTTCTTTCCATTTTAAGAACAGCTTCTGTTATGAGTCATGCTGCGCAAGCCTCGAAGGGCAAAAAAAGCTCCCAGTATAAGTTTTCCTGCCCTTTTCAAAGGGACCAATCCCGGGAGACTCATTGCAGTGACTGGCAGAGGAGGCACAGCTATATTAGCACTGTTTCCAGAGCCAAGGAAGCTGAGGCCGTTACGTTTTTGTCACAGACTTTTGAATTTTTTTCATTGCAAAAGTTTGGAACAGCTTTGAATTCAGTGATTGGAAGGTCTGCGTGCTCCCTTCCTAGCAGGTATATGGTTTCAGCAGCGAGGGCATGACTCAAACATGTGGAATGTGCTTCTTCCCTGAGCTGTTCTGAAGGCAGCACTGAGCTGGCCAGAAACGAGTACGGTGAAATGTGGAAATGTTTTCTAGATGTAATCTAGAACTGTTAATTACAGCTCGTCCTGTCTTTCCTCACTGAGGTCAATTCCTGTCCTCTGTCCTGTTCAGAGGTAAGAGGATAGTAAAGGATCTTTTAAGGGAAAAGGACTGATTAAGTGATGAAGGCTGAGTAGGAGGAAGAGGAATAAATGCTGAATATTCCAATGTCTTTACAGTTAGAGCAGTGAGGCAAACCATGGGAGTAGGTCCTGTTTGAAACCTGAAATTGATTCTAGTGTTGGACTAATCCCAGAGTTTGTGTAGATTTTCCTGGTTCAGCTCTAACTTCCAGTCATGTGGCATCATTCTCCTTGCCTCCAGCACTGCAGTGCCAGGCTCCCCCCACGACCCCTGGGGAGGGTGACAGCACTGCTGGCCCGGGAGCAGCGCGGGGCTGAGCCCCGCCGTGGTGGTGCCTGGAGCAGCGGCCAGCCCGGCAGAGCTCCTCCCTTTCCTGCACGGAGCTGCTCGAAATGGGTGAGGTATTCTTCCAATATTGCTTCCAGATTCTTCCTTTGGCCCGCTAATTGGACGGCCCAAGCGGCTTTTGGCTTTGCTGTAACCTCTGGACCCCTGTGAGGTTCCTGTCTGGCTGCGCAGTGCAGCGCTGCCCCTTCGAGACGAGGTGGAAGGGCTGGCAGGGCAGAGGGGCACGAACGGCTCCCAGCGGGGTTTGCTTTTTAAATTAATGTTTATTTCTGTATCGAAAGGGGTTGAAAGTTTATCTAAAAACAGCAGTGCAGCTCCCATTCGTGTTCCCAAGGATCGGAGCAGGCACGGGGCTGCCTGGGCAGGCTGGCAGCGGGATGCCCTGAGGCACAGGCACAGCCGGAGGCGCTGCCCGGACTGCAGGGAAGGGAACGGGAACGGGAACGGGAGCGAGGGGCTCTGCCGCGGGGCAAAGGGCAGGGCTGCACCTCAGAACCGCCAGTGCCAGGGGCTCTGCCCCGGCCGTGCAGCCGCGGGGCAAAGGGCAGGGCTGCACCTCAGAACCGCCAGTGCCACCCTGGCCGGGTGTGCAGCCACAGCTTCTGTCCCCTGGCCACGACCCCTCGTACTGAAAATCGCTGCGCTGGAATGCAGCACCGAGGGAGAGACAAGCTGTGAACTGCATCTCATTTTTAACAATCCATTCTGTTCCCGCTTAAGGCAATTTACAGGTAATATCCACTTGTAATATGGTCACAAGTCTCGTGCTGCAGGAGCACAAATAATGGCGTGGTTATAGAAAAAGGCATCTGAAATACATAATAACCTGAGAGTACATGAACTTCGTCTCTGTTGCTTCACTATAATGTACAGCAGAGTCCACGTGACACAATTTGGAAAGCCAGCTGCAGCCTTGTGATGTAATCCATGAGAGAGGCACAGATCCCACCGGGTGCCTCACGTAGGTTCCAGTCTCCTTTTCTTCAAGCTCTGACTTCTCCTGAGGGGGCTGCACCCTGCCACAGGGAGAAAGTGAAAAATGGACATTTTTTCTGCCTGTAAGGATGCTCCTCAATTCTAA